TATATATATATATATATATATATATATATATATATATATATATATATTTATATAAATTATTAATTTTGAAAAGTTAAAAATTCAAATCACTGGAAGATGAAAATGAAATGAAATTCTGATAATTGATAATTTTTTAAATGTAAAACAATGAAACGAATGTTTTACAAATTAAACGGGGTTTTGTATGTTTGTATGTCACTTATTCTTACTACGACGTACAAAACAAAAGCACTTTTAAAACGATTGAATATTAACTCTATCAATAAAATTTGAACGTGAAATTGTTTATATAATATATATAATATATAATATTATAAGCCTTTATATATTCAAGCATATATCTAATATAAATCATATTTATAGTGCGTACATAAATAGCAACTGAAATGTTTATAGCCTACTATTATGAAAGAATGAAAAATCTACGGAAATATTTTGCTAAAAATCCATAAGAAACAAAAACTTACAGAAAAGATAAAACAAAAGAGAAACAAAAATGAAAACAAAAACAAACAAAAAAAAAAAAAACAACAAAAAAACAAAAAAAAAAAACAAATAAAAAACAAATCCCTTAAATCACACAAACAACTCAATTTCATTTTCAATAGAGACCAAACTAATAAATAAAACAAGAACATAAACGTGAGGGAGCCAAGTAAGAAAATTATATTCGGATGTGATCGAATCTTTTATACCCATCAGCGTTATCTGAAAAAAAGCCTAGAAAAAGAAAGGAAAAATTAAATATTAATTTTTCACACTCCCTAATATTGGGGGGGCGTGGCTGTTGTTTTCTATTTTTTTTTTAAATAAAAATAACAAGCCAAAAACACACAGAAAGCAAAGGTGGTCTGACTCTTTGTTGCATAGACATGCAGGTGTTGGAAACATATCCCATTTACCCGCTTTAACCGTTTCGAAGTTCTTTCACAAATTTGCAAACCAGAGTATGTCTGCCACCGATATCGAACAATTTTATAGACACACATGACATGACAGACATGCTTAGCTATATTCCGAATTTGAAACTGATCAAGAATGTATGTAATTTATGGAGTTTTTTTCATTTTTATGCAGGCACTATAGCATCGTCCATAGAAGATATGTTCAAATTTTTGCGGATTTGTCTGTTGTCGTACGTGAGTAAGGAGGAAAACACTATTTTTTTTTCCTTTTAGAAAACAAAGTTTTCCTAGTTTACATGCTACGGTAGACGTATCCTTCGACCGATTTTTCCCATTTCCAAAATCAACCTGAACGCGAGAACTTTCAATCTTTCCGCTGCGAAAGCGTCACTTTTGTGATCGAGAGAATGTTTAACACAGACATAATGCAGGCGGACAGACGGACATGCTTAAATCGATTTAGAATTCGATGCTGTATGAAAATACATGTATACTTTATTGGATCCCTGAACTTTTCTACTGGGCGTTCCAATCATTTGCCTTCGGCGATGGGTATAAAAACTGGGAAGGAAGACAAACATAACTTTAACTCTTAGATGATGATATCTGTAACTTGATAAGTTCGATAAATCTACCACCAAAACAACTGAGGATGCAATCTTTGCCTTAGAGTGAATATTGAATATACGCCACCGATAGCCTGGCCCAGTTTGTAGAACAACAACACTAAACAGACATTACGTAACGAAGGAATCAGTAAAAATATTGAAAACGCTGGAGATTGGTTAAAACTATTTTCTATGAAAATATTAAGACTTCTTCTTCTGACAGTTTATTCATACTTCATACTTCATCTCAACTCACAGTTGTTTAAAGGCCACGAAGTTTGAATCGTATTCGTTTCTTAATTTACTGACACGTAGGTCCATTTCAAATCAAATTAGCTTCCACAGCAAGGATATATTAGGTTTGTGCGGATGTATACAACACTGGAGAGGACTTGAAATAGATCTGGCTTTTATTATGCCGACCGATTCAGAATTACTTTCCGGCTGTCCCTCGTGGTTTCTTATGTTCAACGCATAAATCACAATATATTTAAGATATTTGATGAAGTTTCGTGTACTGGCATGCTTTGGCCCAAGGACAAACACTAATGGAAATGATTCGGGTCGGATAGCTTTTTCGGTTACTTCGCATATAACGACTTATTTTAAAAAATCACTATGTGAATAACCATAAGATGGTGTAGGGTATTTAACGGTAAGTCGTAATCCACTATAATGTTCTTACTTGTTTTGAATCGCAACGAAATTTTGCAAATCACTCTTAGAAATTTTCGCTTACGTCACTCATCCTGCGTACGACCCAACGTTCATTCCAGTGAAAATCAAGAAAGCTCAACAAAAGTCGAGTAGTCAATATTGCTTTAATATTGACTTGCTATAGTTATCGAATCCATTAAAGTCGTAATTTGGCCGATTTGATGAATAGTGACAATTCGACTACAGCAGTAGATGCAGACCAACAAGTACCGATATATGTTGTTTACGTTTTTATAAGTCCTTCGCATACTCTCACCATTTCATCCTTTGGCAGATAAGAAAGCAAAATGTACATATAAAAAGTACACAGTCTCCATGTTTCTTCTCTATAGTAAGTAGATTATGCTTTTTCCTATTCCAGGGCAAGATGTAATGTGATTACTGAAACTTGAAGACAATGTACAAAAGTTTAATTTTCTATAAAACTTTTATTGATTTTGTTAGACGGAATGCACGAGCACTTTGCAGACGAAAAATCTCGGAATACGGAATTTGATCGTAGATGTTTTCATATATTTTTGAACTCATATGCATGCATTGTTTACGTTGACGGTTTGACAATTTGACCTAAACATGAACAGTCGTGAATTTAGAAAAACATATATATTAATAATAATAAATAAAATTTATATTTTCATATAAGAGACATAGGCCGAACAGAATGGAACACTAATTCTGATTCGATTTGCATTATCGTAGGTGTTTTAATTAAATGCATATTCAAAGTCAGCGCATAAATGTATTCGCCAAGAGTACACGCAGACAACAGCAGACAGACTCTGTCGACCGAGACCATATTTTTTTCGATTTTTTCAATCTGTTTAATAAAAACAATTTCATGAATCTAACTGAAAAGCTAATAAATTCTCCAGTGATGGGTATAAAAAAATTACACGCTTACAAGATTTTTCACGTAAAAATTTTGTATTCGTACAATGTTAATATCAGGGCGTTTTAAAATTTAAAAAAAAAAAAAAAAAAAAAAAAAAAAAAAAAGAAGGCTGTGTAACATATAAAAGAACAAACTTACCATAGAAAACTATAAAAAACTAAAGAAAGTTGATCTTAATGGTCAATCAAGAATTTTTTATGAAATTAAGCTCACAAAGAACACAAACAAAGATAATTAATTAAATGCAAAAAGAAAGAAAATTTAATATTTATAACTGAAATAGATTTATATTCACTTAAAAAAAAATGTTGAATCGACGCAAGAGATTAGTTTTCATTTATCATTGGCATGGTGCAGACAAAAACATTTGAGTCGAAGGTAAAAAGCTTGTTACATTCAGTTGGTCTTGAAATTGTTCAATTCTCACTCACACCCGATCGCCTATAGCGTTAAAAGGTCAGGCGCAGTCACCACTTTCCCTGCATGAGCATCTCTCAAACTGTGACTTCTCCCTGTCGAAGTTTACGTACGCACACGTACGCACACGTACGCGTACGCAGTATATGAAACAGAGTTTTGAATAAAAATTGCAAAGCTTTGAATAGGTCGAACTCTGCGCCAAAAAAAAAAAATCCTCCAATCCTCGACAGCGTAGCACCGTTACTTTCGCTTACTTGCTTACTTCGAAGCAGAAGATGCTGCTGAACCGTGTTATGAACTGAATAGTGACTGCGTGACGACATCCAAAGCGCAAATAATCATGATGTAGACTGGGCGGCGTATTTGCGTACATTACAAACACTTTACATATCCAACGTGTTACCTATGGAGAGTAAGGAGGCGGCGCGACGCATACTTGCAAGAAAGCACAGCCCAGTTTTTCAATTATCATCATACCCATGCATATATGATGATAGATTGAATAAATTCTTCTTATGATCTTATTGCGGATAGGGCTTATCCAGGTCTGTCACGTAAGCAGAACCGTTTGTATGCATTATTCTCGTGAAGGAAAATGTAAAAAAGTATTCGAAACCTATTCGATCATATCATACCTAGTATCAAGCCAGTCAGCCAGCCAGCCAGCCAGCAATGCAAATTGCTTTTGTCGACCGATGAAAAGTATTTGACGAAAATTAAAATAAATAAAACCATAATAACTAATAACATAAGCAAATATATGAATTTTTTGAATTCTTCCATTTTGAAAGATACGTGAAACGTTCAAAGAAGACAAAGATAGCCTCCAACCAAACCGAAAATAAAGTGAGGACAAGATTTCTCACTTTCACTTTCGAATTATATAATTGATTAGTAATTAATTAGTTTCCTAAATGGTGAACACGAGTATGATTTACTCATCATAATGCAAGCGCGAAGAAATATTAATAACTTAGTTCAAAAAAGATATGCGAGCCACATACTCTCCTAATATAAGTTTTAGCTCGCAAGCAAACGTTTTATGTAAGTAGCCTTTTTTTTTTTGGTAAATCACTCTTGTTTGCTTATCTACGACAAATTTACTAATAAAATGTAGAAATTTCAAATTTACTTTAAAAACAATTTTTAGAATGATTCCTTATATATTGTATATGTAATGAAAAATCATTTTTCCCACGAAAATATCAGACCGAAGAGGTTTGCTTCCTCTTAATGAATGCTCTTTACATACTTAAGAGAATTAAATTCGTTTTGCAGTTATAATCCATTATCTCCACTATGCCTGACTTTCTTCTTCGTTTCGATGCCGTATACCACTTGTGGTACAGGGTATATTAAGTTTTTGCGGACGGTTGTTATATGCAGAAGGACTTAACATAGGCGGCACACCTTTTATTATAAACTTATTTGTCTGTCTGTCTGTCTGTCTTGTCTCCTTGTGTTTAACCTACAGGCCGCAATTTTCAAGATATTTTGATGAAATTTGATGCACCAACGCGTTTTGGCCCAAGAACTTTATTAAAAATGATTCACTGTGTTGCTAGTGCTCAATGTCTCTTTTTTTAGTCTAAGAATTCAATTCATTAGTCTAAAATTAAAATAATAATAATAATAATAATAAAAATGATTCAGATTGGAATAGTATTTCGGCATTCTAAAAACTGTGTTTATGGGAGGGGTCAATTTTTTCAACTCTTTCCCATACAGCCTTCCTAAATTCTAATAATACTTACTGAGCTTAGACCACGTAGCTCTATTTTTTGGATCCCAACCCACTTAAGGTTTCTAATGAAAAATAAGTCCTTATCTGTTGAAAATGTCTAATTTTTAATATTTTACAATAAGAATTTGTCCTTAATAAAACAAGCAATCCAATCTTTTCAAGCCGCCTCCATATATATAGGGGACCTCATGAAAGCAAACCTACCCCTTGTGGGCGGCCTTGTCCGAGTGAAGCATTCTTACTTGTTTATTTTTATGATTGCAAATTGGACAATATTTAAGATGACTCTCGTTAATCTTCGTATCGAAAATAATATCTTAAGGCAAATAAAAAGAGTATAATTAGATAGATATAAAAATGCCGGCAAATTTTATATAGCACTGTAAGTGCATTAAGTTCGCTTAGACTTTTAATTTCTTTTTTTTTTATTTTACAATCAGTATTAAATTCTAGTTTACATAGGAAAATTATATAACATACGTAAATGAAAAGTATAGAATGGATACCTTTTTCACTTCCAATGGATTCAAAATTTATTTTCATCGATATTTAACTCAGAACAAAATATCTTGTCTCTCTCATACGGAATATAAGGAAATATTGCGAAATCGCTATTTTTTACTGTTTATCAATACAAACTCAAGGCTAGAGATTCCATCGTAATGTTAAGGCAAAAATATTTCGATCAAATACGATCGAATTTGTCTTTGTCATTAACGTGATGAAATAGTAATAAAAATCAATTATGACCAATTATTCCAAAAAAATTCAAAGATCGAATTGAATAATATAGTCCCAGTGCATTTCCTCTGCAGTTGCTATACGTATTTTAAAACGTACAGTTGAGTCGAAAAAATATAGTTAATTATTGTAGGGCTATGCCACATATTTATTCTTGAAACATCTACACGCAAACAGTTCGACATGAGAGAGCGAGATGAGGCGACTCAATTGCTTTCTTTCTATAAAATTAAGATTTTTTCTTTTCTTTTTGTTTTTTTTATTATTATTTTGAATATAAAATTATGAAAACTTGATAAATAAAAAATATATTTAATTTTTTTTTTTTCTAATTTTAACTTTATTTACCGATACAGTTTGATATACGATATACAATTTTAAATTGTCATAGTTTGCAGTAAATAGTTTGAATTCGCAATTCTTATACACGCGTACAAATAACTTATAAAAGTATTGAACACACAAAATATATTGCTTAGAGTTGATGTAGAGTAACAATTAAGAGTGTTACTAAAGTATATTAAGAAAATATATAGCAACCAATGTAAAATGAAAGGAAATATTATCGTAAAGCAACTAATTAAATACTATTTTTTAATACGCCGAAAAAAAAAAACACTTTTTAATAAATAAATAATTTTTGTTACATTTTTTAAACGTAAATGCTCTCTAAACATAATATTACTTTTGACGCTCGATTAAATTATTGTCTTTTGCATATGTATTTGTTATGCAGTAGTCTTCGTTTACAAACCCTTGTTAAAGTATATCTTTTCTGGTACTTTGCCTTTATTTTTCTCGACCATTTCCTCATACAATGCCGGTTCAAAACGTTTCATAGTCGAAGTTTTCAATGAACTAAAAAGAAAAAGGAACAATTTCGACCAATTATGTATACTACGCACATCCATATTTATATATTTACCATATCTGAGGAAATAGTGCGCAAGCAGTTGGTACCATGAATAATAAGCTACGAAAAGAAAGAATGAGAAAAAAAACCCAATGCATAATATGATCTTCGAAGCCAAGACTTTGTAGAATAATATTATTTATTTCGACTTACAAACATCCCACCATGCAAGTTTGTACGGACGCATCTAGCCATTTCATACGTTTGTAGGCCGGATATGCCTTTTCGACTTTCTCCATAAGTATAGGTAGCAGTAACATGCCTGGTGCACACATCGTTATACGCGACATTACCACCTGGCTTATACCCTTCACAGCGGCCAGGCGACTTCGGCCTACGGCATTGCCGTTTTCATCAGTCACTTCTATGCCTTTAGCAATTTCGTTCTGCCTCATTAACGGTATATTAACACAATTGGCTACAGCCACTGCCGCGAAAGGTACATAACGCTATAAATTTTTAAAAAAGATTTTATTTACTAAAACGATAGATATGAAGGCATAAAGATGTCAGAGTGAACCTGAAAAATGGGAGGAGCCCTTTTGGTCCAATAACTTTTACAGCCTAAGGCCGCTACGAGAGCTGAAGACGTAGCCGAAACATAAGCTACGCCTAGTTGAGCGACCGAAGTAGGCGAATTAGCGTTACGATTCGTGTAATTAACCAGAGCGTTAAACGACTGATTAATAAATTGACAGAAGACAATTTCAGGCACAGTACGATAAAAAGCCAACATAGCTCCAGTGATTATCATACCGCCGGGCATCTTTAAATAGAAATATTTCTTAATTTGATAACAGAACATGTGATTTAAAGCATTTTTGGCGTTAATTCAATTTCAAAGCATCATGCTGCCACGAGACTTGCCGTTCCCTCAATTTACTTGAATTGTTTCAATTGTACGATTTAAAAATAAATATGTTAAGTAAGAGCATACCATTCTGTACATACACAAATATATAAAAAGCATACCTGAAAGCTCATACGTCCGGCGAAATTTTGCAGCTCACCGGAATCAGGATGAAAGGCTGAACTATACAACTTCATGGCATATTTAACTTGATCCGATGTAGTACCGGGAGGTTCTTGCCCTTTGCGATATTGCTCTATTAACGTTTTAGCTTGACGCAATTTATCATCGGACAAAATGCAAGTGCGTGGATCGCTCATCCATGCAAAATGCCGAAAACGTCCCAGAAAGGTATTGACATCATACAAGGGTTTGTCCACATCAATGCGACCTGAAAATTACAATTATGAGCGGCAACATTTCTTACAAAGTGCTTTTCCCAACTTACTCATCTTTTATCAATTTTATAGTGAACAATTGCTCACTTTGTAGGACAAACCAATATTACGTAAGTACTTCACTACCTTATCGAAAATATACTTCAAAATACGCCAAGACGTTCAGCTTAGTTTCTAAAATCCAAGCAGTTAGAAGTCAATTGCCTGCAATTAAAGCGGAAGTAATTTACACATAATTCGATTTGAACATTTATTCACAACGGTAGTGCATTAAAAGAATATATATTATAATAATTTAGCAAAATCGATACACACATCCAAGCACCTCTCTTTCACATAATTAGAACTTTGGGTTCTTTTCGTCTCAGTTCTCAAGCCAAGGGTCAAATTATAATTTATTTTTACTGTAAAAATAAGTTTAGAATTGACTTACCTTCCGTTTACCGTAGTTTTCAGCCTTTTCCGGTATAACAATTTATATAAATTAAGCGCATTCGACCATCCATTCCGTTTGGGGTTTTTACGCATGTCAAATGCAACTAACAAAGACAGAGTTGTATATATTGCACCAATTTATAGTGATTTGTTTATAAAATTCATTTCTTTATATTTTTAAAAATAACAGCCAATTAGTCAAGAACGTATCGATTCGTATCGTTCTAAACTGTTTCATATAAATTACAAAAAATTTTGTATTGAAAGTCCATAGTTTTGTTTATTGCATTGTTATTGAGAAATCAAAAGAAATGAATCTAAACTTCTTATAGTATTTTTTTAAAAATAACCTAAACAATACTAATGACATAACTATATAAAAAACAAACTACTTCATATTATAATGTTCAATAGGAAGGTAAGAATCAAGATCATACACAGACGTTACCAGTTTAAATGCATATTTCATAATATTTGTTCATAGCTCGCAGCAAGAAACGAGCAATTGCTCAATGTTCCGATCTCTGTAGTCACCAAATGCTTTTCAGCTTTGACTAACGTTTTCATTTTATTGATGTCAACAATGCCAACGGAAGTCAACCGAAACCATGAAAATCTTGCATATTCGTAATACAATTTATTTCCTACAATATTTTCTACAATTGTGGCGTTAACCTATTTAGAAATTTGGAAGAAGTTTCACACTTAAAATACAATTTAACTTCCGACACCTTAAGAATGGCGATCACTAAAGGCCTCATATATTTCCTTCTGATATTTTTGACATTTTTTCAAACTGTCATCCTCTATTTTTTACTCTTGTTTCGTCAACTTCTTTTAGTTTTCGACCATTATGCAAGGATATTTTTAATGCATAAGCCATAGACCCGATAACGATTCTCGCAGGGGAGAAATTTGATATGATTTGAATGATTTGATTTGAGGCAAAAATGGATTTGCTAATATATAAAGCAGTAGTAATATTCTTACTCTTAATTTAGTCATCTGGTCACCGCATTGTGTTTTTAATGAAAACATGAGAATTATATTTTAATCCACAGCTGTTGTTGACATTTTATCTTCATACTTGTGTTTGTTTTTCATGTTTGTTCATGTTTGTTCATGTTTTTTGTTTAAATCAATTTCGCAAATATAATGCTAAAAAGTCAGAGTGCAGTTCAATTTGATTAAATGGAATTTCAACTTTTAAAATTTAATAAACATAATACAGAAAAGTAAATTAAATGTGAACAATATTCAGAGAACTCTCGCAATCTCTTTAGAACTACGCAACAAAAACTGAACCAATCAAAACGAACCCTAATAAAAATTGAGCCAGTCAAAAGGAACCTTCGAATTGATAACGAAATTTGAACCAGTCAAAACAAACCCTCGGAGTGATAACAAAAATTTCATCTTATTTTACGGAAGAGGAGGAAGGAAGAGATACATACATATTAATTATTTAAAGGAAAAATTTTAAAAAAGAAAAGAAAAAAAAAACAAGCTTAACAACGGCCAACACCTACAAATACATTCAAAATAGCCAATTATTGATAAATAGCCAAGAAAATGGTTAATTTTAGAAATTTTCCTAATATCATATTCGTATGGATTTGCTGTTGTATAGAACCCTTAATATGTTGTCAAGGCACCACTCAATGCAATATATTGGCCGTGCTACCGAGCGTGTGGAAATCTCATTATCTATTCGGACGTCATTTAATGCGACAATTAATAGAACAAAGGAATTGCACTGTTACGATAATAAGTGCATATAGCACGAAAGATGCAATAAAGGAAGAATCCAAGCAAAATGGAAAACTGCAAGAAATCTTGGTGGAGGGATTATTAAATAATTGGTTGGAAATGGGCATGAGTTTCGATATTGATAAAATACGCGAGAAATCAATACTGGAACGTTTCACACGACTAATGTATGCAAGCACCAGCAATATAGATTTGTTACTGTCCGACGAAGGAGTACATAAAATGCTAAAAAGAAAAGAAAAATTCAATTTACTTGTAGTAGATCTGTTTTTAAGCGATGCTTTACTGGGGTAAATGTATATATATATATATATATATATATATAAATATATATATGTAGATGTATCTGTACATGTATACATATGTGTATAGTGCTTATTTAATTTAATTACCTTTTTCTAGTTTGGCTTTCTATTACAAAGTGCCTGTGGTGGTCATAAGTCCTAGTGGTTCTAATACTTGGTTACATCAAATTTTCGGTAATCCTCAGAATGCTGCCTTAGACCCAAGCAGCTTTTTACCTTATTCAGAGAATATGCACATTTGGCAGCGTTGTTTAAATACATTGATGGCTGTTTTTGAAAAATTAACTTACAGTTTTTTTCATATGATAGCGCAGCAAGTGGTCTATGAAAAATACTTTGAACCCTTTTGCAGAGAATTGCCGCATTCTAAAGATCTCACTGAAAACTTATCAATGGCTTTGATAAATACACATCCCATATTACAGTATCCACGAGCTCATTTACCGAATATGTTAAACATAGCAGGAGTACACATAAAAAGTGATAAAGACTTACATTTACCAGAGGTAAAATAATAATAAATTATTGCGTTAATTACTTTTAAATAATTTATTTGTTAGCTTTTAAAAGATTTCATTGACGAAGCTCCCGACGGCGTCATATATATGAGCTTAGGGGCGAATGTTTATGGTTTCCCAATAGAAAAATTAGACGTTTTTCTGCATGTTTTCGAAGCACTGCCCGAACTACGTTTCATTATTAAATATGAAGCGGAAGAGCCTATGCTTTTAACAAAGAATACAACATCACAACTATTAATACATCACTGGTGGCCACAACAAGCCATATTAGGTAATTGAAAGGAGGAAACAAACGCTAATGATGAGTCATAAGATAAAATAATAACATTTTATTTTTCAGCTCATAAAAATGTTAAATTATTTATAAGCACTTGTGGTATAATGAGTACCGTGGAGGCCATACATTTTTTAAAGCCAATATTGGCTATACCTATAATGCCGGAGCAACATGTTCTTGCCAATAGATTAAAAAATCAGGGTGCAGCATCTCTACTTGTTTACGAGGAAATTGCCTACAATCAATTACTGTTCCTTATAAAAGAGATATTAACAAATATCAGTAATTATCAAGACAACTTAAAGCGTTTAAAACATCTACTACTGGCGGACATAAATGGTATTAGTAGCATTGAACGGACACTGAACGCAATTGATTTGATTTTAGATACTCAAGGAGGAGATTTTTTTAAAACTCATAACCATACATTAAATTTTTGGCGTACGGCTTTAGTAGATGTCTTAGCCATATTGCTTGTCGGTTTTTTAATAATATTAGCCGGACCATTTTTATTGATAAGATACTTTTTAAAAAGATCATATCAAAACCAAACTAGGTTTAACGACCTGAAACGTTCAAGTAGTTATCATTGCTCTATGCTAAACGATCGCTTGAATATAAATGATATAAACAGACAAACAGTAAATAGACGACCCTCGTCTATATCGCAAAATGGTCAGGAATTTTTTATAGATGAAAGACGTTTTTGTGGAAGTAGTACCAATCTACATCAAAGACGTAAACGAAACTCTTCGAATTGTTCAAATAGTTCGTCGTGTTGTTTATGTTCATCATCGTCATCTTCAGCTCCAACCACCCCTTCAGCTAAGACCACTACAACAAGCGTTATGTAAAAACGGTGCAAAAAACTATTGTTCTTTTTTTTTACCGTTTATTGGTTATGTTATTTATATTCATTCGCACATTTCATTTATCAATGTTACCTAGATGTTGGTCTTATAGTCACAAACTGTAACTGTAATCTCCTACAGTATAAGAAATTATCAAGGCAATGATTTAATACTGCCTACGTTGCACATGCAATTGAGAATCCAGTCATACGGCCGTTAACCTTAATAGCCACTTAATAGGTCTGTTAAACGACACCCGGAGCTATTCCGAGCTATCTATCGAAAGGAGGACTCGAAATATCAAATTCAAATTTGTATAGGAAAATAGTTGAAATCCCATATTTTAACAAAGCCAAGCATTTTCAACATTTTTAAAAAAATAAGAAGCTTTTTTCCACATTTCAAAAAACATTTACCGAAATATGCAAATATTCAGCATTATGAAAAAAGCCATTCGTGCACATTGTGTGATAAAAAAGTTCGGAAGGTTCGGAGCAATACATATAACTTGTTCCAGTTAGTTCTCTGATATAACCCTTAACGTAGCTATGGAATATTAGTTTTTCATGTTCATGCTATCGTGTTTACGCTAAAACGCAGTTTGCGCAGGCTTATAAGCGATAACGGCTACGCCGTATTTCAGAGGCTTATCATTTTTGATTTTTGAAACCATTGGCACAGAAGACAGACACAGAAAATTGATCACTTGTGTACTTTTGATCAGGATAAAAATCTACCTTGATTTGGAATTGAAGTCCGAAAAGTCGTAAATATTTTAATATGAAACTGAATTATCTGACAGACATCTAATTGATTGATCTGATGGTATGTATAGGTGAATTTGATTAATCAGCGCGTGACTATGGATACACTATGGATACGAATTAAAGCCCAATATCAATCAATTGTAGTGTACCGATCTCTGTCCCTCTTTGTATGTACAACTACTACAAAATTTTGTTTATCTTATAAGACTTTATATATATGTATATGTATACATACATACATACATACATAAAACGTGTATATGTACAGTACCGACTGCAACCGTAAGCGTATAGTCGGAATTCTTATGTATTTTTTCAATTATTTAAAAATAATTGTATTATTGTTAGTATTCTGCAATGTAATGCAAAAAGCATATTTTATATTATTCATTGTTTTTGTAATCTGTTCGCTCAATGTATTGCATAAAGTTATGAAAATTGTTATCTCCTGTGCCATCCAACGATAAAACAGAAACGTCACGATCGTCAGCAATGATGTAATATTGTATAACGTAAGTTTGCTCTCGCTCTCTCTCTCTCTCTCGCTCTCTCTCTCTCTCTCTCTCTCTCTATCTCTCTCTCTCTCTCTCTGTGCGTTCAGTTATGCGTACAAAATCTATTTAAATAATTTGAATCAACACGGGATAAGTCAGAAATTTTGTGTAATCGTTGCAACAAAGCAGCTTTATTAAGCTGGACCGAAGCTCCTAATGTACATGCATATGTGTACATGTTGAAATCCTAGATATGTCATCAAATTACGATGACTAAGCCTCCGGCAGAGCAACGAACAAATTAAATTATTTTTCGCGATTCATGTTTACACTGTTTAGCTACCTTGCTTCACCTTAACATCATGCATGTCTAGATAGAAGGGGCGTAGTGGCAGCGCACTGCCAACTACTAGCTCTACATTGGGGTCAAACCAGTCGGGAACCGTTTTCGCATTACCTCGAGATGGATGCTTATGGATCTATGATCCCTATTATCTTATCCTACCTCTCTCGCTATGACTTCAGGTTAGGGATACGAATGCACAGATCTAATATGTCATAAGAGCAAAAAAAAAAAGAAGAAAAGCTCTATTAAGTGAAACAATGAAAAACACGTTTATACATACATGTACGTATTATGAACTTGTAATACCATCATCAGCATTACACTTTTGCGACAACTTACATTCGATATAAGAGACGATTTAGCCACGTCCGTCCATTTGTTTAAAAATATAATTCTTTGCTAATTCCTTTTAAAAATTCGATGTGAAATTTAGCAATTATTAGCACATAAGCATAACAAAATGAGCATTTAGTCGTGCCCGTCTGTCTGCCTGCCATCTTTCTATCCGTTTGTTGTTATGTGATAGGCAAATTGAAATTTTACACATATATCTATATTGACTTTAATCAGCTGATAATGTATAAGTGATTGGCGAGTAACACTTAACAACAGGATGTCGTATACTATGGGTGAAGCGGGAGAATACGCATTTATCATTCATAGAACTTATGACAAGTGTTGCGAAATATGCCTCATATCGCATACATAATTCATTTCTTTTCATATTAAATGCATTCCTTTGGGACATCTTTTTCTTAACTTTCATAACAAATTTAAGGTCATTGCCTAAATACATACATACATACATACATACATACATATATATGAAGTTCAGTAACTCTTCAGATGATTAAATATGAACAGTGCAGGGTTCCTAAATATTGTGGGATTTTTAAGTTTGTATTTTGAAAAAAAGTCCAAATTTTTTTTTTTTTTTTAATTTATTCCATTTAAGGAAACAACATTATTTTTGGCCGTCTGGAGTATACGTACGAATTATTAAAAGTTGAAAATGAGTACTTTGAACTTTTATTATTTTATTATTTTACTAGATACTGTATAAGAATAGTGCAAAAAAAAAAACAAGAATCTTTCCTTGAGTGGGGGACATTTTTTTATCATTTCATATGAAAGCGTTTGTTTCTGTTTTTTTTTTTTTTTTTTTTTATTAAAAAAAAAAAAATTTAAGCTGTAATATAAAATCTACCGAAATGTAATAAGACAACAGTACCTTAATCATGCTCTAGGACTCCTATCTGTATAAATTTAAAAGCTCATCCCATTTTAAATTCGTCTTAAAGTTGTAAAGCGTTGATTAAATGCTACCGAAAGAAAAGCAAAGGATAAAAGGGATTACTTAATATATAAAAGTGGAAAAAAAAAAAAACTTAATAAAGAAAAATATCATTATTATGCGGTTTTTGTGATTATTTTGTTATTGTTTTATTTAATAGTGATAGCTTTTATAATTCTTCGTTTTTAGGTTTTATTTTTCATGGATATTTATCAACTAAAATACAAAAATATTTTTTTTTTAGATTTTAGAATTTTTTTTTTTATTATTTTTTTATTTTTTAAGTAAATAAACACAAATGTGAGCATATGAGTTATGCAAGTAGATTAATTACTTTATACTTTCATTTTTTATTAATTTCAGGCTGGTTTTTTCGTTTTGTTTTCTGAGAAATTCTTTTGGCTGGTTATAGGTATATGCTCTTATATATCTATATTTGTATGTGTATTTATATAATAGAGTTAAAGTAAATCTTGATAAAAGTTATATATATATATATATATATATATATATATTTATACATATATATATATATTTATTTATTTATTTTTATTTTTTTTTTTTGTAAATTCTACAAAATTTAAGTGAAGCTTAGATGTGCTTAAAAAGAATTTTTTTTTTTTTTTTTTTTTCGTTAATTGTAATATATGTATAGTCGTATTACAAATGTCGATACCGACTGGCATATCAAGTTAATTTCTTCTACTCTTCTCCTTTGTCGATATTAACACCGATAACACAATTAATAAACGTTAAGATCACATCGTATTTATAGAATTATTTTTAATTTGTTTTTTTCTTGATTATTTGTTTGAATTAAATAATTAATTACTTTTTATTATAACTATTTATTTTTATTTATTTTTTCTTTGTATCACCACAATTTGTAATACTTGGAATTCTTTATATTAAATAAAAAAGTTAAAAGAAAAAAAAAAAAAAACATGTAGAAAACAACAATTGTTAAAAAAAATAAATTATTAAAATTTTAAAAACTTGGAAACATGAACAATTCACAATAAATGAAGTATTTTTATTATATATAAATAATTAAAATTGTTTTTTTTTTTTTTTTGTTTTCACTTTTGTTTTCTTTAAGGAAATTATCACTTGAATTATGAAAGGCTTTTAATTTTACTTTTACTTTTTAGTTTTATTAAGGTAATCTTCTCTCTCTAGTGTCGTTTGTTATTGCGTTCCATTATTAACAATAGAGAAATTAAATTTGGCTTGAACCCAATATATATATATATATATTCCTTTTTTTTTCCTTTTTTCTTTTTTTTTTTTTTCTATATATATATACCCACCTTAGTGGTTAGTGGTAGCTTATGTTGAAAGGAGAAAGTTATGTCAAAGAAGTCGTATATTGCGTACAATATTTGAACTTATAATTTTTATACAGTGTAACAGCAGCGGAGAGGGGGTGCACTATGTTTAAACAACTCTCTTATTTTTGTAAGAGTGCATTTCCAACAAAACAAATATACAGTCGAGGTTGATGATCCAAAGTCAAGTATAGGATATATTAAGCAGGAGAGTGAGGAGAGATTATAGGCGTACTTAGCTCTTCTTACTTCATTCCAATAAACGCAAGCGTCAAGCCAAGTTATAACGAAAGTTTTCAGAGTGCAATGTGGGAATCGACATAGACCCGACCTATGCAGAGATTTAACTCAATTTCAATCTTGTGAAGAGAATTATTTATAAATGAAATTCGATTCGTTTTCCGTCATAGTAATCGTGACAGAGAGACAAACAGACAGATAGAAAGATAGACAAAACAAGGGCAATTCAGTTTCGCTATATTCATGCATAACGGGATCTCTGATTCCCATATGATTTCATGCGTTACTAGCTTTTGTCACATAACTATCGTTAACCACTGTGGTGGATATACAAGTAGACGTTTTTATATATATATATATGTATGTATGTATGTATGTATGTATGTATGTATGAATGAATGTATGTGTAAGAATATTTATCTGTATATTTGTTTCGCATGGGCGTTCTTCTTTTTGTTGCTCGTATGTATATTTCGTTTGCATTTCCATAAGTAGTTGAGTAGGTTAAGATTATTTCTTATTGTTTACTATCAACTGAGTTTTGATTTATTTGTAACTTTTTTATTGGTCTATATATAGGGGAAATATGTGTTAGTTTTCTTCTCTTTTTTCGCACCCTTCTTTATTATATTTTTTAAATTTTTTTCTAAGTAATTGCAATAAATTCATTAAAGAGACTCTCGTGAGGCAAAAAATGTTAATAAAAAAATAATCAACATTTCTATTTTTAATAAAATCAATTGTTTAAAATTTTGGGTTTTTTTTCAACACAAAAAGATTGTTTTTAATGTTTAAATTTATCGCCCTGTTTGCTTTTATTTTTTACAGAAATTTTAAAATTGTATTAATTTGTATTTTTTTTTTAATTTTTTTTTTTTTTTTTATTATTGGTCTCTAAATTTTACATATTGGATATTTTTATTTATTTATTTATTTATTTTTTTCTTTTCTTCTCTTTGCGTGAATATATGTACGTCTAATATAACTTATAAGATACCATTGTAATAAATAATAAATAATTTTGAAGATATTTCTACGAGATAAAAAGCAAAACGTAATTTTTTTTTTTTTTAAGATTTGAAGAGAAAATGATCACAATTAAAAGCGTAAAAATCACAAATTACAAATGACATGAAACAACTTGAAATCTTTTTTAGTTATAAATTTATACAAATTATAGAAGCAACGAATTGTTCTATTAGCTTATCCCAAGAACCCCGAGAATTGGTTTGGTATATGCTTTGTTCTTCAGTTTAAAAAAAAAAAAAAAAACGGGCCAGAAATATATAAAATACGTTATCAAAATGATGAGCCGAAACGATTTAACCATCTGCCGTAATCAGGCACAAAGATTCAATTAATTAAGGTAAGAAACTTTCATTCTCGCCTTCTCGCATTCAAAAAAATACTCACAATAGTTCAAAAGATTGCATTTACAGATTCAAAAATTGATCTTAAATTGGTTAGCAATGTCTTGTCAACACTACCGCAAAGTTGATAGCCTCAAGTATGTCTTAACCTTAATTTGAGATATTGATTGGAAAGATTGGGCCTCATACCAAAGTCGACTATAAGACTGACGGTCTCGATTAATATATACAAGTATATTTGGCTCGCAATATCTTTATAATTAATTCCAAAACGAACCTTGGACGCTAGTGCTTCTAAAGACTTTAGTCTTGAAACTTATTTCTCCGCTTAAATTAATAATAACAATAATAATAATAATAATAATAATGATAAAGAAATGTGTGTGCATAGTTCTAGTTGATCAACTTTAGCGATTGTGATGATTTTGAAATTTCACTTGAATCAGTTTTTCAAATTCGATTTGAATTTCAATGTCCAGAGGCATAGTATTTCTTTCGATAATGCCATCGTGTAAACATTTCTAATGGATGTAAAATTGATTTTTGAGTTTTATTGGAATAGATCAATATGAAAGAAAACTATTTCTTTATATTAAAACAATTGACGCGTTGCTAGAAAAGCGCACTTAATCTAAATCTAAATAATAATAATAAGAGAAAAATTACGTTTACTGGTTAAGGGTGTACTATTTGTTTGGATATTTGTTTGGAAGCTACGAACATTAAGAAAATTAAATTAAAAATTATGTTATAAATTATTGAGAAATAAAGTTTGGAAAAACTTTGCGAGCTTTCGAACTTTCTAAAGTTTCTCCTATGGTATTATTATTATTATTATTATTACAAGTTCAATATTTTGAAGGGCCCATGAAAAATACCAAATGTCAAAGAGGAAAACCGAAATGCCCCTCCCTATAAAGGAAGCTGGCTGAATTGCAATGGTAGCGGTTTTTTTATAAAATTCTCGGTTAAAATCAAATGGCAGAGCAATTTAAACCAGAGTCTGCCGTCTAACATCTTGTGCATATAAAATATTGCGAGCTACAAAAATTTGCAAATAAAGCATATCGTGGAAGTTTTTTGTATTATTATTACGGTTTCATTACAATTTAGAAAAGATATTCGAACACGCCCTATGTAATGATAAACGGAAAAAGCGTCTACAGTCCGAGCAGTCCGAGCAGTCCGAGTCTTAGATGACTTATGAATGTATGTTTCGACAAGGCATTTTGTTCGAGAAGACTCCAATGACAAGGCGTAGTAGCTGGGTGATCGAATCCAACTATTTTTGCTTCAATTTATTGCAAGCTTATAGCTAAGCCAACATTGTCAACACCACCATGGACTGACTGAATTGATGATCGTATTGTTTAACGAACCTCATACGATATACATGTCGGCCGCAAATAATTCAAAGCGAAAATAACTCCCTGTCCTAAAAGAAACGATCATTGTTTTATAGGCGTGTCTTTTGCCCCTTTCAATTAGTTCGATTTGCTACTAACAAGAACTCGAAGGAATATCAATATCCACCATTGTAATCACATCAGACATACCTATAGCAGTTTTTAAAGTTTATATATCTAAGCAGCTAGCTGCAATTTTTACTCGGCTCATAACGGGAACTGATATCTTATCTCTGACGGGCATAAAGAGACTGTGCATCAAGATACTAATCTTAAGATTTGTTGCAATTAAAATTTCAAATATTTCCTACAAATTCAGAAAATATATATATGTATACAAATACATGTATATTTAATTAGTTTCATGTAATGCAAAACGGAAGCAAGCAGTAGACATGAAGTAACGTATATTACACGTGCATATTCAAATTTGAAGCAAGATTCATCAAGATCCATAAATGCCAACGAAATTGATTTATATTTTGAATTTGAAGACAAAAAAAAAAGCTATATTTTCGATTCAATTCCAACTGTTTTGTAAGAGCGTAAGAACAAAACAAGCCTTGTAAACTGGTAAGAAGTCGCAAAGATTGTAAAGCTTTTTATGTTCAAGATGCTCGTTCTTGTGATTGCGTGCGTAGACAGACCCTTATTACATATATGATCACACATATGAAAGGGCACTCGACGTGACGGCCAAACATTTACATATTAACATATTAACAAGTCAACTAGGATTTGCGCACCCGGCCAATGCCAGCTCTCCATCTTAACATTTACAATTATGGCCATTCCATTGGTTCCTGCTACGGCTTGAAATGCTTGAAAAACATTCACCTTCATACTTCTTATCTGAAAGAATGTTGAAAGACAAAAGGCGTTACAATGGATAACGCCATTGCTAAATCAATTTTCTTAACAATCTATGTTTGATTTTTCTCCGAAGTTAGGCAGAAAAAAATTGTTCAACTAATCCGCAAATTGCAAGCTTACTGTTGGACCATTTCTTATGCATGGGTTTTCGGATAACGAAAACTAAACACATGCCCTTGCTGCGGTAGTGGGCTTGACTTAAACTTGTACTCGAAACATTAGTGCAAGTGAGTCGAGAACGAAACAATGATCATTTAACAATCTTCAAGAGCATCGCCCAATTCTTTTTTTAATCGCTGCAAGGGTTGAGCGTCGATTTCGAGAAATAAATAATCGAATTATTGAAAACGAAGGTCGATGAGTGAGTGGCACTTGTAATGGAATTTAAACTTTTTTGAAAACGAATCTTCCTTTGTCAAATTATGCGGATACAAAAGTTTACTTATAATAAGGCGAAAGTAGATTTATTACGTATTCAAAGAAATTCCCCTCACTATAATTGGGGTTGCTTCATAAAACATATCTGACGCGTTAACGTGTTGACGCTCATTTTGAAATCACTGAGTGCTTCTTTTATGCATAATAGAGGATTGCTGTAGACTTCGCGTGCATCTGCAAGCTCACACAATGGATGTCACAATGACATCAATCATTTACTTAAACAGTTTGAATTTTCCCGAAATTTTGGATATAGATAACTTAGGTATTGGTGCGATTCAACGACGTAAGCTGCAGTTGCTTTTTACGGGCTTTTGTTCAGTTTACGAAACCGTTGAAAAGTGGTCTGCGAAATTATGGGCAAAACTTTTGTAGCCATGAAACCAATTCCAACGAACATTCGCATAGGTCCATCTGTCTTCCGCAAAAATAAAAAAGGAAATCATTTTCAGCTTGGGCTGAGAAGGTTCATCGCACTCGGCATATTCTCCAGGTGTGATCAGGCGCCTCTTCCGTTTACCACTTATTCAGATCGATGCAGTGTTGTCTAGCCGATCAGCGATTCACTGAAAATGAAAATGAAAATGTCCGAAAATGCGTCGATCGCTATTGCGTCTGCATCTATTAAGCTAACCGATGAATGGCAAAAGATGCCAGATTGCTAAGTTTTGTAACAAGGCTACTATAAATATTGTTGAATTTTATCAAGAACGCCAGGAACTTATATATAAACCTATTGTAAGCAGTCCCTATGGCAATAATAATCTGCACACAGTACTTGATAAGAAGATAGATAAATTCTCAAATAGATTTTTAAGAAATTTTTCAGCATCTCGTAGGTTTATTAACTAAAATGACATTAAAATAGTAGTCCGTCTTGCTTGTACGTTTCTTTCTTTTTTTTCCCCTTTTTTTTTGAGAATTTGTGGACAAATTTCGCAGACAAAGTTGTCTGTAAGATTGAAGCTTAAGGCCGTAAAAGGAAAAGGAAAGATTATTACATTGTTCGTAATTGGAGTTCTTGGACCCAGTTCGCTCATCTTTCGACCTTTCAACGGACGAACAATCGAGAAAGATAGCAAAATCGACTTCACTATTCACAATGATCACATACATACATGATGGGAACCAACTCTCTGAAGCATACAAATATTTGGAAAATTCAATGAGCTTCCTAGGGCGGATACAATGAAATTATGGAGAACTTTTAAACTTAAGGTACATTAAAGACATATACGAAACGGTTGTATGTAGTCTTAGCGAATGACAGCATTCCCAGTTATACTGTTAAAATCAATTTAATTGAAAATCAAAAATCACGAAATAAAATAAATGTATAAAATCGATCGAATTGAAAATCGAAACGTGTCGACGAAAATGATGCGTAGAATTAATTGATTCCCGAGTTTGTGTCGTTCTCCAACTGCCAGAATTACTAAAGAATTAGCCTTTAAATAAAAACAAAAAAATAAATAAATAAACTCTAGCACATATTTGTTCGTGTAAATATTACTACAAAGTTATGCGATAATATATATTAATAAAAAATATGTAATACGTAAGCATGTCTTTTTACTGTTTTCTGTTGTATTAAATTTAATATATATATTTTGCTATTGTTGTTGTTGTCTCTTTTCTTTGATTTTCTCTTTTTCTTTGCAGGAAAAGTATTTATTTAAAATGTTTTTGCCCGTTTTCTTCACATAAATATTCATATCAAGAAAATTGTTTACTTTTTTTTCTTCGTTTTCTTTTTGTTTTTTGATTACAGTGGAAAAATAATATTTCTTTACATGTACTGTTTAAATATATATATATTTATAATTATAAATAAAGGATAATATTATAGTATTACTAAGTTATAAGCGTAAATAACAAAAAAAAAAAAAAAAAAAAAAAAAAAAAAAAAAATGAACGAAAAAATAATAAAAGTAGTAATAATTAGGAAAAATTCAGAACCAAAACAAAACACATTTCACGGATGACATAAAAAATAAAATAGTTATTGATTTGTTTTCAAATTTTTTCAAGGGCTAAACTGAATTTCAGTAATAAAGCTTTATTATTTTTTTTTTTTTTGAACACAAAAAAGGGATCACTAGAATTAAATACGAAAAAATTCTAAAAAAAAAAAAAATTAAAGAATGATTTCTTTTTTTTTTTTTGATTTGGTGCTGGTTTCTGTAATCAATTTTTGTTTGAAAAAAGAAAAAATAGTAACAAAATTTTGTATAAAAAATAGGAATTATTTTGAATCTAAAAAAAAAGAAAATATTGTGAAATTTTTCCTTTTATACTCTTGCGGATCAAAGAAGCCATTGGATTTCTTTTTTCTTTGTTTTGTTTTGTATTTTCTTTATTTCTTTTTTCTTTTTTCTTTTTTTTCTTTTTTTTTTTTGTTGTAACAAGAGTAAATGAAACTTTTTTCTGCAGCCTTTTTTGTAAAGTACGTAGGAGGAGGATTTTTTTATTTTTATTTTTTGGATTCGTTGCTTTAAAAGTTTAGAGGAAGGTATTTTTAATATTAATTTTTTCACATGTATTCATTCACTTACTACGCATTTATTGTTGTTGTGTTATTATTGGGTTTTTTATTTTTATTATTATTATTATTATTATTATCATTATTTGTAATTTATAAAGTTTCACAAATCTCTTTACTTTAATTTAGATTTTATTTTAAAAAAGGATTTGCGATATTTGTTTATTTATTTTTTCTCATTTTGTTTTTCTTAAATTCTTCTTTTTATTTTTAGTTTTTGTGAATCGTTAGAATACTTTCTTTTTAGTTAAGGTGTATGCTGCTGTTGGTTTAGAAGTTAATAGTAATAGTAGTTATTTTGCTGCTATTTGTTGTGATTACAGTATTATTCACACACATGTATTGTTGTGGTTTTGATTAAATTGATTGATGGGAGAATAACTGAAATTCTTTTAATCATCGTAATCTTCGCCAAAATCGCTTTCATCGCTGGTGCTTGCAAGAAAATCCAGGAAACTCAAATCGCGCTGCTCCAGAAACTCGTACAAATAGATCTATAAACGGAGATGAAAAATTATAGAGAAAAAAAAAAAAAAAAACTGCGAGTGAATTTTGTTTACTCATATTATTTAAGAATTCAAATTTTACTTTCTTTCTATCCTATATGACACATATACGTAGTGTATAATGCACACATCATCGTGAGCAAGGAGTTACGCAGAAATTTATGCGAATCAAAATCATGACCGAATCATTTTCAAGCACTTTTATAAATTCGTTCAACACATTTGTTAAACGTTTTTAAGAAAGGGCGTCAAGCGCTGAACACAATCAGTTAGCGGGTTATGTGCTCAACTGTACATAATACGTAAGTACGTCCGTACAATCAATTAAATCATATTTTGACATTCGAGGGTATGATGCAATATACGCAAAACCATTCATTCTGTCCAGGCGCCGTTTCATTTTATCTCAAAGATTCATCTCTTTGCGCTTTGCGTTTTACGCCACAATCATACAGATTTACTCGCTAAATTATACCAGAAGATTTGGTTGGCCCCTTAAGGTCGCGAGGAAATTGCTTCTAAATCTTGACGAACAATGAGAAATGAGCTCAGCACAGCACAGCAGAGAATCATTATCATCATCAGCCCGCATTTCATGCTCCAACCTAGCAATATCTATAAGTGCGAAGAACGCTTGCAACAACAACCGATGCAACTGAGGCAGAAAATGGTCGCAATATGCGTAAACAAATATGATAAAATGATTTCTTAACATCAAGACGTTGAACTATGTATTTTAAATTCATCCAGAAAGCGCATCTTAGCATTGGATGTTGCTTTCAAACGGGCAAAACATAAATGTCTAGAGCAAGACCATTATTTAGACGATACAATAGCGCACTTCAGTGCGTTACAAATTCTAGCAAATCTAATGAATCTGTGACCTTATAAGGAACACAAAAAATTCGAATAGATTTTAGATTAATATCTTCTTTAGCGTATACAGAATAGATATGAATAAAACATTTCTCGAACATTTCATTTATACCCTGCGCCACTTCAAGTGCAAGGATGTATTAAGTTTGTGTGCGGAAAGGATTTTAGATAGACCCATTATAAAAATCCCATTTTGAAAATTATTCAGATCGGAACGCTCGTTATGCCACTTCTAATATAACGCCTATATGAGTAATCGTATTAAACGAAGTGCTGCACGCCATTTTTAAAGGTGAGCCGTGGCCGTCCGCCTATAACGTTTTTACTTCTTCTACTTTCTACTTAAAAACTGTATTCCAAAGGTCGATTGCATACCAACATAGAACGGAGCTTATGCCAAAACTAAGTGGAAAAGACCATAATCGTTACTTTTAGAAAGCCTTCGACATCGCTAGTCTGTTCTGATGGCTTGCAAAAGCAATTAATTCTAAAAATTAAATTCAGCCAATAATAGGCAAATAGATATGCGACCCAGAATAACGCGCGCAACCTACCTTTTGCACGAAATGCATCTCACTGCTGTGATGGTGAATGAAAGTAAATAAATTCATGTAAAGAAAGCACAAATACAAGTAAAAGGAAAAAACCTGCGTTGAGTGTCCGTATTTGCATTTTATGCTTATTCTCACACTTCAACTATCTATAGCTAAGTTAACTAAAACAAGTGAGAAAATTACATTCGGTCGTGACCGAATTTTTCATACCCATGACTGTCATCTTAAAAAAGATGAAACAAGCAAAGGAGCAAAATTTTCGTGCTTTACAATAAGAAGTGGTGCGGCTGATTTTTTCTATCGTCCAAGAATTTGTTTACTTTATAGAGTTTTTGACGCTTGTTTCTGTGCCTTATAAAGTGTTGCAAAAAAAAAAAAAAACTTTAATAGACTATAACACTGGGTAGGCGTGGCCGTGTTTTCGATTTTTGTACACCACACCATCGCCTATTGAATATGCACTTAAATTTTTGTGCATTTAGCTGATACAGTTTATGGATAATCAGAAGAAAACCAATTTTTTATCCCTTTTGAAAAACAGAGGTGTCCACAGTTTACGTAGTACTGTAAGCGCGTCTTTCGACCGATTCAGACCATTTCGAGTACCAATCTGCGTGCAAGAATTTCCTATGTTTTTTTTGCCGACCTTGAAGTTTATTGCTCACTTCTGCAGCCAGCAGAATGTTTACCACAGACATTGCACAGACGGACATGGTTAAATCGATAAAGAATTTGATGCTGATTATAAATATACTTTGTTTTCACAAAATGAATATATCTCTCTCCCAACTTTCGATGATGGATATAAACATATGCGTAAAGTCTTAGCTAGCTGTCCATTTAAATGCTTGCGATCGCCGATGCTAACAATAGTGGAATTATATAAATATTATATAAAGTATAACGTTTTTAATAATGGTTCCCAAAACGGGAACGACCAGATAATCGCATCAATCATATCATCAGATGCTGGTAACAAAAATACACGATAATCGAAATTTGTCGAGCAATGTTACCAATAGTGCACAACCAAATCGTACTACAGCAAAATCTATGGCAGCTTTATTTGAGAACAAAGGATGCGCAGTAGTAGCAGTAGATTTCCATATCGGAATTCGTGCAAGCCCGCAATACTATTGAACAGTGATTACCTTAACTTGAAGTTAAGAGAAAATGCACGAGATTTATTATTACTTTTTAAGCAAAATCCTGCGGATCCAATTGCAATGTCAGTGCGCGGGAATAACTGAATCAATTCTCCTACGTAGGCAGCGATAAGGAATCTGTAAAATTTCTCATGTTTCATTGCATTAAATACGCTTTTAAGTATTTGATAAATTGAATGCACAGCCTCTCTCTGCAGGGCGGAAAAAAAAAAAAAAAAAAAAAAAAAAAAAAAAAATTGTTTCATGAATAAATATATAAACCAAATTGTAGATGGATGTGTGATAAGCCAATTGTCATAAACTATTGATACAATTGTACTTTAATCGACTCTGATCAGCACTTTGTTGCTAAAATTTGTGAAATTTGTCTGATTGTTGCATACATTCGCACAACTTAATATACCTTTGTACCGAAAGCGAAGTACGGTAAAAAAAAACCATTTGCGAATTATTTTCATTTGGTAAAATGCCCCAAGACCCTCTTTCTCTCTTTTCCTCGCCTCAAAAACATTTATGGTAAATGCCAATGCTTTATTGGAATTAGAGAATCGAATCGACACATGTTCACACCGATGTCTATATATTCTGTCTCCTCTCGAGACCGCTTTCTACAAACAAATCAATTTTTGATATCAATGTCAAATGATTTACAGCGTCTCTAAAGCACGATTGCACGGTTATATAAGAAACGCCACTCTACCTATATAGGCGATGCGACTTTATCACCTCTTAACAAGACAGGCACACATACGAATGGTTCTATAATTAAATGATAGATAGATGTATGTATACATGTTCCATCCAAACTTTTATATATCCATTCACCACGAATTGCCGAATGTTGAGTTCAATGCAAAACCACGTTAATTCATATCCCTCAATTTACGTTTAATGACAGTAGGGAAACGGTTAACTCTCAAAAAGCCAATCATATGCGAGCTTGTAATTATGGCCACCTCTTAATCACTATCTATCTAACCAAATAACACAAATTCGAGCAGAATTTAATTTTTTTTTTAATTCTTCGTATTGGCCGCGCTATTGCAACACTCACGTAGTAAATCTTTTTGAGAGAGAATCTCAACTAATTTCATCCGATTAGAATGAAGCTATTACCGCACGCTAAACATATATATAGTTACTGTTGAATCTATTGCAGTATTAGAAGTACAATTTTTGTGCTCCTTTTGACGCATCTCAATGCCTCAAACTCTTCCACAAAAATCGACTGGTATATCAAAGCGTTAAATCCATAATCGCTAATCTAATTTCATCTATATTAATTTTCGTAATTTTGTAACTCGAACTGAGATGGCGCCAAGTAGCCAGTTTCAATATTAATTTTTCATTTTTTTTGTTTATAAATCTAAAAAAGTAATAATACAATATTTAAAATTTCCACATCTGGCAAACAATGAAAAGAGATTTCAACTGAATATATCAAGGCTAATTTTTGCAACTTTTAACTTGGAGGACGAATGAATAACTTTTAAGTGTATACAAGATAAGTTGAAAGAGAAAGAGTATTTTGTACTTACGTCAAGCAAATTAATGATTTCATTACTACTGCGATGCATTTTTCGACCTTTTTTGGGACAACCAACATCAACTAAATCGCCGTTAGGTAGAGCATGCTTGTAAAAGCATTTATTGCCAAAGGGACACTTTCCGTCACCCTGAAATGAATAATTTTTATAATTTATGTAATATTCAATATGCACGTTTTTACTCTTTCGCTTACTTTTTTAAAGTATTTGCAATCCTTAACACCCAAAGCCTTGCGATAATCACCCAAAAGTTTCTCTTTCTCTTCTTTCGTTTCAACCCAAAAGGCACTGGGGCAAACAAAATCAGAAGATACGCGACATTCAGGGCAAGATCTGCAAATGCATTCATATTAATTTAAAATTTTACACAGACACAGCACAAAGCACACAGTACACGGCACAAATGAACGGTCCGATTGCCGCAGTCTAGTATATTTTCAACTTGAGCTCGCAAATATCGCTTCCGAATCAAAAAAAAAAAAAAAAAAAAAAAAAAAACAATTCTGGTCAAATGCTAAACTTTAAGGGAAAGGGATGTAACATGGTGATAGAAAAAATTTCTAAAAGATTCGTATTGACAATAATAAAGAAAAATGTAATATACATAAATGACTTATAAATCAATCCTGCACTTATCCGGAAGGATATGAAGCTTCACCAGGGTGCTTGGGCGCGCAGATGGTAGCCCACAAACCAACGAGATATCTGCACTTTTTATATTTACAGTTGTAAATATACCTAGTTAGGTAGGACAACCGATTTAGCAGCTACTGCTTCAATAAACATTTTCAGAAGAAAGAAATCTATGTCGGCTGGAAAATGTCGGAGGGAAATGTCCGTTACTCGTAATGACCGTATCTAAATTAATCCCTCATTGACCCCAAAAAGTATACTAAGATCATCCGGCACCTTCGCAGTCTGACGTTGCGATGACATTGTTCACACCAAAAATACGTCACGTTCGGCAATATCTATCTGTCCATGAAATTTGTTTCGATGTATCAGATTAATGCTCGGAGAATCGTGGAAGTAGAATATGCATTTAAGAAAGGATTAAACGAGAAAGAGAATTTTGTGCATATGATGAATGTGGCAGGACTCCAACGCTCCTTCATATATGTAGTCGCCCAATTGGATTGGGGCACATTGAGGTCTTATCTAATAAGGTAAATAAAGGACCGTGAATGATGAAATGAGCACTCATTCGCTAGGAATATGCGGTAATTTAAAAATACCCAATTTACATCTACAATTTTGTAATACTTGCGATTGTTCAGTTCGAAGTTCGAAAACGATCAATGTGCTAAAAATCAATAAGTGAAGTTTTGTTACCCAATTTTCTGGATTGCACCATAAATTTTGCAAATCGACCAAGTTCGAATGTAAACGCGTGATGCAAATGTTGGGAGGGAAATATCTAACATGGTCAAAAGTAGAAAATTTGATTTGTGTGGAAAGTGGACGCAACTGGTTCATTGACTTGATTAAATGCGTAAAGATCTAAACAAAATAATTAATAAAAAATTTCAATTTTACCGTTGCCCCACTATGAGATGACTGCAACGTGTTGCCCTTGTGAAAGATGCAATATAAGACATACTTAAAATCATACAAGACACAAGTCACCGCTCAATCAACTACTCTCTTCTCTGTCTGTTTCATTGATTTATCAAGACATTAATTAGCATTTCGCATCGATACAATATGAGAAGTACTCCCTGTCTTTAAGGTTAGCAGCATATGGTACATTCCTATGGAATATTACGTATATAATACAAATGATTACGCACCTGGTGATCTTGTGTTCAAATTGTTTAGCTTGACGCCATTTGCGTATGCACTCCAAACAAAAGATATGATTGCAATTGGGTAATATACCAAAGCGCTTCTCACGTCCTGCCTTTTCCATAATCGTGTCGAAGCAAATGCCGCAGGTTTTGTCTTTCGAGCGCGCAATAGCAAATGACAATTCCATGGCTTGCTCATGTTGTTGCAAACATTCCTTTTTATGTTTTTTGCGCTGTGCCTCGTCTTTGGGATGTAAACAGAATTGGTCGCACATTTCACATAACTCCATATGCAAAGAATAACTGCAATACAGACCGAACGGGCAAGGACTTTCAAATGGGCACATTTCTTTCATTGAACCTGGTTCGGCCATATTTAGGACACTAACTCGAGTTGCACCAGTACCGACTACGTCAGCCCATGAACGATTCGAGGACGCTGCCATATCTAGAGCACAGGCTTCGTTCATTATTTCACCCCCAGTGAGATTAGTTTTTGGAACAAATACGGGAGCGTTTACCCAATTACGTCGGCTAGTGCTGGGTTGTTCTTGTACCGGAAACGATGTCGTATTATTAATCATTTCGCCGCACGCCACATCGTGCGAGAAACGACACAACGTACCGAAACGACATATGCCGCGCTGAAAATATTTGCAAATTGCAGGATTTGTAGCCAGCGCCGTGGTGGAAGGGTTTATTTGATTACTATTTGCGAGTATTTGGCTGTTTGAAGATGACGGCTCATTTGTACTGCTTTCAGCTGCTGCTGATGCCAAAGGTAAAGCAGCCGTAGCAGTGGTTAATGACACACTACTCATAACTGTGCTTACTTGCCCGCTTTATTGCTTATAATCAGAAACGGAAGTTGTCCTTGAATGTTTTGCTTGCTTTGCTTGATTCAGAAGAGAAACGTATTACAAGTTTTCTTCTTCTTATTTCAGATGTCGTCTGAGCAATATATCCGCACTTCTTGTAATGGATGTTGCCGCCGCATCCGTAAAATCTGAAAACTGTAAATAATAAAGAACAGAAGATGCTATAATAACTGTTATTAATCATTTTTATCTTTCTTTTCGCATTTCCTTTTTTTTATCGCATTTCCTTGTCTACTTTTTATACATTCTATATTTATTCAAAATCACTATATATATGTGTATGAAAATGTAAATTCTTCTTAACTTTTTTATGCATTTCTTCTGATGATGGCAGCCAAAACTAACAACAACAACAAAATATTTGCCTAGTCATTGCTCTTAGCTGATAACCATTGAATTTTATACTTGATATTGATACGCTCGTAAACTCATTTTTCAAAAAAAGTCCTTTTTTTCTTTTTTATATATTCTTATCTTTCTATAATTTACCTTTTCAATCAATCTGCGATAATATCGTGAAGGTTTTCAATAGGATTTTCTTAAGATGTAATTGCGTTTTGACGAAAATTCAGCAAGCTAGTGTTGCAAAATTGTTAGCTATTTGATTACTTTGGTTACTCTAAGCCGTAAAAGTAATCGTCAACACACTTTACGAAATAATATATATGCATTAACAGATTTTGATATATGCTTGTGCATTAGGATATATCCGTTGTTTAATATTTTATTTCACGATAGGGAATTACATGGATTCATTCAATCGACCGCGCGATTTTGTCATGCATTGCAGTGTATGCACGCTCTTCCTAAGTTATTAAACATAGCAGGCGTTAGATCGCGCCAAAATATGAATGAATTCCAAAAATTTGAAAGCGCAAAAATATTCGTTTTAAAAATTAATATGAATATTAAGCCGTCCTGATTTATATTTACACAAAAAACAAGTACAAACTTTACTTTTCCGACGTTTTTCTCAATGAGAACATATTTGACAATAAATGCACGTGAAGCATACGTATGCCTGTTTGATTGCAGCCCTGTGTGAAGAATTTGCTGATTTTTGCTTTTATTTGCAACGTTATCAGAAATCTAAAACGGAAAGAGAAAATCGCGATTTTATTCAGTGTCCAAAAATTTCCATTTGTATATTAAGCTAGACCTTGCTTCCGTGTTAATAGACTTAATCAGGTCTATCTGCTGTATTTATGATAAAAACATCAGACTAAGGCGATTATTGATGTGTATAAACATAGGAGTATGATTATTTTTGCGTACAAATATTTACTTCGTCGTTCGTACACTTGCCGAACTAAAATTTTTTTTTTATACAATATCGAAATTGCCGCCCTATGGCAGTAGAAGTTTTGGCATGTACTATTGATAACAGACTAGGGAAAATAGTTTGCAGCGTAGGATGCTCATTTAAGTCAGGACCGACAAGCCACAAGACCTTTTCAAGCAGTAATTGATTTCGTGATTTTCCGAAATTTGCGCTGTTTTGAAATCATTACGCATTGCAAGCGTTGAGTAGCATTTTTTGAGGTTTATTAAATCAACTGTTTAATTAAGGGAAGTGATATTTTTAAGAAGAAACAAACTTGATTAATTAAATAAATTTAAAGAAGGCTTTCTTTTAACACTCTTTGTTTTCGATAGTAGGTGTCATTGGTGATAACTGGAAGAAATTGTGAAAGGTGGGACTAGCGGAACGAAAAGATATACAACTATACTGAATTCTTAGAGCGTTACCAGCTGTAGAAAGCAATTTGAGTGATGCCATATTGAAAATTTTCATTTATGCTGATATTACATTACATATTTGCGTAGCTCATTGTAACAGGAGCATTATCAATAATTAGATACAATCTGAAGGGTTTGCTTGGAAAAATGTTGCAAAAATCGACAACTCAATTTTTGGTGCCAGCTGTGCGTAGTCTTGTGCATCGCCGTTGCCAATCGGTGGTTTCTTCACCACCAACCCAAAAGATTTCTACAGCAGTAAGTAATCAAAAACTTTTCAAAAAGGAGAGTTACGTAAACCTTTGCAAATAAAATTAAATATCTCCTTTAGGAAAAAATAATTCTCGGTGGTGGTATGTGTGCTGCTTCCTTAGTTATTCCCGCTTGGGTATTATACCATATCCGGGAATATCGTGGTTTAAAATAAATCGTCCTCAATCTTGCGGCGGACAAATTCAGGTTATGTTTAAACAAGTGATGGAATTCAATACGCAAGAATGTTGAAGTGTGTTTTCTCTCAAATAAATCGATTAAAGTAAAATTATAAAATAGAGTTTTATTTCACGCACATTTTTATTCAAGCGGCTCAATATGCCAAGGTGTTCTGCGACAAATTAGTTTAGTTAATGCAATCTTATTCAAGCCAAATGCTAAATGATTATTTTCGGAATCGCCCACAACTCTACTTTTTGTCGGCATTGCCTTCAGACTTTTTATCTTTATCCTTCTCTCTGCTCAAAGAACCCACTGCGTCACGCACGGCCTCGGAGTGTGGATCAACGCCGGGCAAATTTTCCAATACACTTTGTAGAAAAGCAGGATCACCAATAACTTCAGAATAATCTTCATCTATATCCATTGCAGCGCTTTCTTCTGTCTTAGGGCGTTTAGCCTGCTGAGTAACAGTGTCATCTGGTACAAAGAATTGCATATGCCTGTTATCTGAAGAAGTTTAGAAAAGCATTTCTTTACCTGCATCTTGCATAGACATTTGCATGGCGAATGCTATCTGCTCTTCTTCAGTCATATTAGCAAAATCAGGCAAATTATCATCATTCTATATGGATATGGAATGAATATATATATATATATTGAATATATATATGTGGATATATGGATGTATATATGTTAAAAAAATATATAAAATGAACATATATACGCAATAAAAATGTGCTTCCTTTATTTATTTACCTGCTCACTAGACATGGCCAAAGCGCGTTGCAACATAGCTTCCTCTGAATTCGGTTCGTTAACTGAGGCGGCAGTGGCAGTAGTAGTAACAATTGGTTCCTCGCCACCATCATTTCTACTTGCTTCACTACCGCCAGAAGCATTGGAATTGGCTAAAGCCCGACGTTGTTCCTCTTCTTGACGTGCTCGCTGTTCCTCCATAGACACACGTAATGCTAAAGCCAACTCTGGATCTTCGTTCGGATCAACGCCAAACTCAAAACCGGCGCCACCCAGGCCAGCTCCCCCCATACCATCTTCTCCCTGAATAATAGGTGAGGTCAACAAAGCATCTGACAAGCCAGAACCCCTTGGCACACTGACCAAATGGGAACCGGTGCCATCTTTGCCATTTAAAGTATTGATAAAAGCTTGCAATATTTCATTGTTATTGGAATGATCTCCAAAACTAACAATATCTACATTGACCTTTTCCTTTTTCAAACGTTTTGCCAACTTGACCAATTCTGTCTCCTCGTTGCTGACAGGGGAGCCCACAAATACAACAATACGCATTTTGTGATTTTTACCTTGACGATGTTTCAAAACCAGCTAAAATTGTCAATTCATATGAGCTTTGACCAAACATAACAAGATTAAAAACTCACATGAGCAATGCGAACACCTGTCAAGAGATTAATTTCTCCTTTGGGCTGTATTAAATGCATTTTTGAAAATATACGTCCTACATCACTGGTTAATGTGGCCAAAACCTCCACAGTACTATAAAATACAAATCAATCTTAATTGCATAGACTTTCAAAAGCAATAAACTTCTTTAACGTACTTGGCGTAGGTCATTAAGCCCACATTGTTTTCAGGATTAGAACGTACTTTTGTTAGACACACCAAATTGATGCCATCTTTTTGCACATTTAGACGTGTAGGAAAGTAATCACCATTGCGCTGATAATCACTGTTATCAAAACTAAAAGCATAAAAACAAGATATAATTAAAAATTACGAGCATACAATAGCAAATGCAAAGGAAGGCAAATAGCAAGAGGCCTTATATTCTATATTTTTTGCTCAAATTTAAATTTCATTTGTATAATGAATATCAATTAAAAATAATAATTTTTACAATAAAATTAGCTCACCAGATCATAGTACTCTCCAGAACCATTTTTGTTAGTTTTCTTACTTTTCGCTTGTCATCAAAGCTGACACAATCAAAAATTCTAATTTAATCTGTCTGTTTATATGCGAAAAGTTAACAATCACAATTTTCAATCCAAAAATACAACCCTAAACGTACTTAATTCATTGATATTCTCGAAAGTACTTTAGATTAGACAACTAGACGAAGAATTCCGCATTTATGACTTAGAATAGTAGCACGCGAAAGTAAGCCAGTTTAAAAGTAAAAAAGCAGTAGAAAAAACCTGAATAAACAGAGTCTTGAATTATATTAAGAATGGACGGAAAAATTAAAAAACCAAAAGTAAAGCCGTTGCAAGTTAAAGCAAGATATCGTTTGCAAGTAGTTTATGCTGTCCAAGAGCCCTAAAAAGAATGTGTATGTTTAGGGGTATGTTATTCTTAAATTTGAATAATTGCATCAATGGAATCGGAACGTTCCATCTTTGCGAATATTTATCAGATTTTCAAATCTTTATCGACTGTGAATAAAGTGAAATTTTTATTTCCTCAACTTTTCGATCTAAACTTACGACAGTAAGAAAGACAGACTACTTCGTACAATTTTATATGTGATACTTTCAAGTTATATTTCCGGTTTTAACGTGCTAGAGAACATAGATAAATTGATTAATTTATTTTTGCTAGTGAAGAATTTATCAATTTTAGACGATTTTCCCGCGCTTATACGATTACTTCGCTATTCGCGCAGTATTGTTAGATGGTTCCGGATAACTAAAATACGTCAATATGCGCTATCGATTGTAAGTTGTATGTTTTCAATGCAGAGTCAAAATTCTACGCTATCCAACAATTGCTATGTTTTGTGCGATTTCTAAAAAAATTTCATAAAGACTTAACGTGCGTTTCCATCTTCAATACTTTGCGAATATATATTTTAATCAGAAAATTTAATGCCCGTTTTTCGTTTGCTGCCGAATTCTATATAAAGATCATCGCGTATAGAATTATAATTTTTCTGTGGCAGCTCTTTACGCGTCATGTGATAATTAGTAATTATATTCGATCAGTTCCCTTCGCTGGAATATCTTTTTTCTCTCAAATTAAGTTAAAAGTAAAATAAAAAATGGTTGACTCTTATGTAGCGCCTTTGGTTATCACTTGTATTTGGGCCTTTGTAGGCATAATTTGTCCCTTCTTTGCTCGTGGACCCAGCAAAGGGTGAGAAAGCATAGACTTTTATATCTCATGAAAAATAAAATGCAATTTATTTCTAGAGTTACTCAATGCTGTTTGATGTTAACTGCAGCTACTTGTTGGCTTTTGTAAGTTTACTTGGCTCTTAAAAGATCACATTTTTTATTATTCAAAGTCATGTCACTTCTTTTCAGTTGGCTTTGTTGCTACATGACTCAAATGAATCCTTTGATCGGCCCTAAACTAAGTCGTAATGAAATCATGATCATTGCCAAGGAGTGGGGTCACGAGATAAAAAATGTTATAGATAGTATGCATTAACATGCACCTCCTTATAACTACAAAAATATATAAAATTTTTTCTCCTGTAAATAAATATCAGATAAGAATACTAACAGGTAGATAAGTCTTTTTATAACTTTTTATAGCTTTCTTAAAAAGCAAATATTTATTAAGACAAAAATTACGATTTTATTTTCTTCTTAAAACTAATAGCATGGTGAAAGTAACAACTTGCTATGGGTTTTGTCAAGAACCGCAGCAAATATTTGCTACTTTTGCACATGGATCGTTAGAGAGTTTACTTTTCGTTCAGGAAAACGGGAAAGAGAAGAAAGCAAGTCGTAATCTTCAAATGATAATAAGCATATTTGGTTTCTTAATCAGCGAATAATCCGAAACCCATGTCTTCATCCTCTTCTTCGGATTCCTCTTTCTCCTCTTTTTTCTCTTCAACGGGTGCGACGACAGTTACAGGAGCAGCCGATACAGCGAATTTGCTCGGGTCTTTTATGTATTCCTTAATGGTAGCAGCTTCCTTGAATTCGATCTCTGTAGTGGCCGCAATAGCTAGTAAGTTCTTGAAGCCGTTGGCAATGCTATGAGGAACTGAAGCTATGGTTGGATAGCCGACTTCCAAACATACAGCAGCCAAATTGGCTACACCAGCCTGGAACTTCGCACGCAAATCTTCAGGTTTGATATCCAAGATTTCCGGAGAAAATATCGAGCCAGAGTCGTAGACTTGATTAATGACCAAACCATAAGAAAAGGGTGAAATGTTCAACATGTTAAGTAAAGTGGCTTCAGAAGCTCCCACTTTATCACCAGGCTTTAAAATAGGTACATCATTGATAATTTCAATGGTACCTTTAGAAATTTTTGTGGGTATAGACAAGGCTTGGAAAAATGATGTCTTCTCTGGGCCCAAACCGGTGTTTTGAGCTGGAATTACTACCGGTAAAGGAGCAATAGCACCAGCACGAGCTGGAGCACGCACTTTGGATTCCAGCAACTTGTCACGTACCTCAGCCAAATCACCCTTGGTAAACACGAAACCCACATTACCTTTAATATGAGGTAACAATTTTTCCAGTTGTGGATTACTTTCAAGATGACCACGAATAGCTTTGCGCATCATTGTATTTTTACCCATCAAAACTATGCCCATGCCACGCAGGCTGATGCGGATGGTCTGCATTTGACGTGAACCGACATTGTCGGCGCCCACAATAAAGCATTTCGGGTATTCATTGAAGAGTTCCTAAAAATGATAGAAAAAGGGACATGAACTGTAGACTTTTTTCGAGTTTTTATATTTAAAAGCTTTTTTTACTGCGTCAGACTCGCTTTAAGAGCATTTTTTTCAACAAGCTGTATAATCAAAATGCCTGGGTTCAGCTTTTTCAAGCAAGGCATTTACTCAATATACGTTTAGACGGACAATTTCGATCATCATTCAAAATTACAAATCTATCAAACTACGACTTATTTTATACTAATGAGAAAAATAAACTACTTACAACAACTTTAAGGAAATATTGCGCTTTCCAAGCAGCTTTGTTCTCCCTAACCATCTTGATGCAAGGTTTTTGTAATTAGGGACTCGTAAATGTTGAATTTAAGAACTGCAAATATATAAATTTCACGTTAGCGTAGACATTTTCATTACTTTTACAAAAATGTTCATTAATTGTAACATTTTGTGAAAGGATGTCTACAGATTTTCCAGATTATAATATTATGCATTTATAAATATACATAAAAGTGTACATCCACATATATATAGGTATAAACACAAAACGTACCAAAGCACAAAACTGCACAAGCTGACGTCTTTGACGAAAATGAACATAAGGAAGGAAATTGCTTACCAAATATATTGACGTACAATAATGCAAGTACAGCCAACTTCAATTTCGCTTTTCGGATAAATAAATCCGCTTTTCGGATAAATAAATCCCATGTCTTAAGGACAACGAGAATCCGCGTTGCCATATTATTTGATAAGAACAAAGAAAGAAGTATTATTATTATTATGAATTTAGCCAGACGATAAATATAATTCATATTATAAATCGTAGAAAATAAAAAAGACTTAACTGAAGATATAAAATAGATAAATAATTTCTAAATTTAAAATAAATTGTCTTTAATTCTTCTTCTGTGCTTTTTTCTTTGTACTTTATTTGTTTTTATATATACGAAGTCTCGTGGAAAGTCGGTAAAGCTAAAGTATTCTCTCGAAAATATGAATAACGGAGCATTGTGCCAGCCCCTAAGATAGCCAAGCGCGGCTTTTATTGTCTCAACTACTAAATTACTTATTTTGTTTTTATTGTGTAAGGGCCCATGAGCTCCGAATTCCCACAAAGTTTCTAAAAAAATCGGTAAATTTAAAGTCTTATCCTAAAATTAGGAATAACGCATCCTTGGGGGCTAACACAATAGGCCGTTATTTTTATTTCTCTCAACCTTACCAATTTCTTACAAAACTTTATTGGAATTTTCAAATCATATCTTTTTGCATGCATACATACACGAAATCGAAACATTGTTTCTTTTAAATTTTTTAAAGTTATTTATCTAATTTATAAATAAATGCTTTTTCGATTTGCAGTTTTAGTTTATCTTGTAAAAAATGAAAGCAAGCTACAAAGACCATTTACTTTGAAGTTGGAATTGTTTTAGTAGAGCTATAAACGGTAATTTCCAAATTACGGTTCAATTAATACACAAAAAGGTTTTCGATGGCGATATAAAATTTAGGCAGATTATAAAGATTAATAAAAGTGTTACTTTTTATAAATTTGTTGTTTATGTTTACGTTAATTTCTTTAATTTTGGCTCTAAAACCATATATTTTTGCTTACGTTTTCCTGTAAAACAATGTGGGAGCGTGACTGGCAATTGTGTTTAGCAGTTGGGAGTTTTTAACCCGAAAACGAAAATTACGCCTCATTGTTTAAGAACTATTGCATTTGAAATTGTGTTGCGATAATTTCACAACTCTGTGCTGGCAGCATATATTTAATATTTTTCTCGATAGCGGCTTGTTTTAAGTTATTGATTAATTATTAAATATAGCAATAAAAATGACTGCCTTCGAAGGTAAAAATTAAGGATTTACATATTGTTTGCTGACCAACTAATTTTAATGTTTTGTATAGAATTTGGTGTATTACCCGAAATTGGTAAAGCAATCGATGAGATGGAATGGACGTAAGTTTTTTGCATCTATGTTAGATAAGATGCTGTAAATGCAATTTAATTTGTTAGATTACCTACCGATGTCCAGGCCGAAGCTATTCCTCTCATTTTGGGTGGCGGTGATGTCTTAATGGCCGCTGAAACTGGCTCAGGTAAAACGGGTGCCTTTTGCTTACCGATATTGCAAATTGTCTGGGAAACTCTGCGGGACTTGGAGGAAGGCAAAACGAAAAAAATTTCGGGATCAGCAGGCGGTGTGGCTCCATGGACAATGTCATTCTTCGATCGCGGATCGGCTATGGCTGTCACTCCTGATGGTTTACGTTGCCAGTCTCGCGAATTTAAAGAATGGCATGGTTGCCGATGCACCACTGGTGTTAAAGGTAAAGGCAAATTCTACTATGAAGCTACTGTAACGGATGAAGGCCTTTGCCGTGTCGGTTGGTCTACTCAGCAAGCTAACTTGGATTTGGGCACTTGCCGTTATGGGTTCGGCTTTGGCGGCACTGGTAAAAAATCAAACAATCGTCAATTCGATGACTATGGTGAGGCTTTTGGAAAAAATGATGTAATCGGCTGTTTTTTGGACTTAGAAAAAATGGAAATCACATTTTCTAAAAATGGCCAATTACTGGGTGTAGCTTTCCGTTTAAACGATAGTCTTAACAACGAGACATTCTATCCAGCGGTAGTTTTAAAAAATGCCGAAATGTCATTCAATTTTGGGAAAAGTGAATTTAAATACCCTCCGAAAGGTGGCTTTATAGGTACTACAAATGCAGATTCACATCACACTAAGTTCAATCCTCTAGCTAGTGCTAGTGCTAGTGGCGGAACTGGAAAACCAGTTGCCAATGCTCCTCAAGCTATAATAATAGAACCTAGTCGAGAATTAGCTGAGCAGACCTACAATCAACTCGAGAAATTTAAGGTGCACCTGTCAAATCCGGATGTGTGTTCCTTGCTCTTGATCGGTGGCGTTAAATTAGAACAGCAGAAGAGTGCATTGCAGCAAGGCGTACACATTGTTGTAGGCACTCCAGGACGTCTAGAAGAAATGATAAATGGCGGCTTTGTACAACTAACCCATTGCAGGTTAGCAAAGTTTTAAAAAATTTATAAATATTTAAAAGAGTAAAATCATTTTGTTTAAATGGTTGTAAAGATTTTTCGTTTTGGATGAAGCCGACGCTTTGCTTAAACAAGGCTATAGCGATCTAATTGAAAGATTGCACAAGCAAATTCCTAAAATGACCTCTGACGGACGCCGTCTACAAATGGTTGTCTGTTCGGCTACTTTGCATGCATTCGAGGTAAAGAAAATGGCCGATCGTCTAATGCATTTCCCTACCTGGGTCGATTTAAAGGGGGAAGACGCGGTTCCTGAGACTGTCCATCATGTCGTATGTATGGTAGACCCTCAAAAGGACACCATATGGCATAATTTGAGACAGCGCATACGTACTGATGGGGTGCATGCTCGAGATAATGTCCATCCACAAAATCTCGTACCAGAAACCTATTCAGAAGCGGTTAAGATTCTTAAGGGAGAATATTGCATACGCGCAATACAAGAGCACAAAATGGATCGGGCTATTATCTTTTGTCGCACTAAGTTAGATTGCGATAATCTCGAGCAATATTTTAGAACTGCAGGCGGCCAAAGGTATTCATGCGTCTGCCTCCATGGGGATCGTAAGCCTCAGGAACGTAAACAAAATTTGGAAAGATTTAAAAGAGGTGAAGTTAAGTTCCTTATATGCACAGATGTGGCTGCCCGAGGTTTGGACATTACAGGCCTACCATACAGTAAGTTCGCGAAACCATTTAATTTCGGAGGTTTTAGTGCATTTAAATTTTATTTTAAGTGATTAATGTTACTCTGCCCGATGAAAAATCAAACTATGTGCACCGCATCGGTCGTGTAGGCAGAGCTGAACGTATGGGTTTAGCCATTAGTTTAGTGTCTACTGTTCCCGAGAAGGTCTGGTATCATGGTGATTGGTGCTCCTCGCGTGGTCGTAATTGTTCCAATACAAATCTGACTGATGCTCGCGGTTGCTGTATCTGGTATAATGAGAAAAATGTGAGCCGAATCTCCTATTTTCTGTTTTGGATAAAATGAAATGAAACTTGCGCCTTGCTTTTAGCTTTTAGCCGAAATTGAAGATCATTTGAATATAACCATACAACAAGTGGATAAAGCCATGTCTGTTCCAGTTAACGATTTTGATGGCAAAGTGGTTTATGGTGAGAAAAACCTTAGTACAGGGACCGGTTATAAAGATCACGTTGAACAATTGGTGCCTGTTGTACGAAAACTAACTGACTTGGAGCTGCAATCACAGTCTTTATTTTTAAAACGTTTGAAAGTTTAAAAATGCATATTGGATCAAAACAGAAGGCAAACAAGAGAAGGACAAACAAAACATAAGTCCAACGTAATTACATATTTTGTGTTGTTGGAATCAATAAAACACGTATACATATACATTAATTATTACTAAAATTTGTTGAAATTGTTTCTATAGTGCTATTGATTAGTTAATGATTCTGTGTACTCTTTCGCTCCTTTGTCCTCCTCTTCTTTCTCCAGATCTTCTTCATCTTCTTCTTTAAACTCGGTTCTCATCTGTTGCAAGTGCAACAGCTGTTTGCATAATTGGTTACCAAATGAGTTAACATAACCGGGACTTATTTTATCTAGCAGTGCATGCGGGGTCTCAAATATGTCATCTTCATCTGCATTGGGCACAACCTTATCAGCATCTATCGAGTCATATGTTTCAGAGACGATGCGAAATCCCATATTGCCAACATGTATGCAATAGGTATTGCCTTCGAAAGTACGTAAATTCAGATACATTTTACTCTCAGTAGATGGCAATATGGAGGATATATTAATTTCAGCTACATGCGCTTTAACATCGTTAATAATGGCTGCGGCTTCTTCCACCCAATTAATTAAATGCTCATCGCTTTCGTCGCTATTTAAAGTCTCATCGGTAACAATAATATTAGAAGTCATTTTAAAGTTCCTCGTATATAAAATAAAAATAAGACGTTTTAACGGGATAATTAAAATTAAGAGCCGTCTAGGACGACTTATTTGATTTCTCTTATAAGCCCAAGGCAACCCTATTGAAACAGCTGATTTTTCAGTCATATTTCACAAGGTTACCGCACTTTTGGAAAAATCAAAGGGATAATTTTCGCATAAAATGAATTTCATTACTTTGTTGAACGAAGTAAATGATCTGTATCTTTGTCGAAGTGGTCGAGCTCAGTGTCCGATCTAGTTCCTTCCACTTCACCCTTGATCTCTTTAGTAAATAATGAATGAATGAACGAATCTTTTCGAATTAGTTGAATTTCCGTTTACATAGCTAGAGGTCATCATTGATTTTGTTGTTGCATTTTGCAATTTCATTTATTTTCTAATTTCTGTGGCGCACGTGTGTATGCATGTGTTTATTTGTTTACATTCTAAAGAAGTTGCCGTGATTTTCTTTGTTGCATCTTGCACTGTCATCACAGCTGACAATTTACTTAATATACTCTTACCCACCTTTTCGACCACTTCCCATAAAACGCATTATTTTGAAAAGTTGTTATATGAATAACTTTATTAACTGAAGTGGTGTAGGGTATTTTATTTGATAGGCCTATAGTCTACTATCGCGTTCTTACTGATTTGAATAGCTTTACAGAATCTTTTTGATTGAACACTTAAGCCGTACGTATTGAATGAGTTCAGTCAATCTCAACAACAAAAACAACAGCAACAAAAGATCAGATCAATGCATTCGCTAATCTTACAAATTTAGGAATTAATTTTATATTATTTAGAAGCGAGAGTAAAGTTACGTGAAGGCTATGAGCGAAAATAACGTCATCGAGGGCAAGAGCAGTGATGGACGTCAATAAGAAGTTGTTGAACAACATTAAAATCTATAACAGAGACGCAGAGAGATCTCTCTAAACAAAGAGGAGTATTTGCTAATAGATGAACCACTGATGGATTTAAATTAATTTTTGTAATTTTGTATTTGAATTAATTTTCATTTTAATAATTATTTAATGAATTGCTATTATACCCTAGGCTTGTCTGTCTGTCAGATGTCTGCCTATCATTCTACAGGTCGGAGTTTCTGAGATATTTCGGAGCAATTTTGCACACCGACGTGCTTTAACCCAAGGACCAGCGCCATTGAAAACGGTTCGGATCGCTTCATATTTTCGACGACTCCCTTATATTAAAAAAATTGCAATTTTCAAAATTTTGCGGCAGAGCGCGCCGAGTAACAATAATTTCACATTATAGATTGATATGAAAGGTTTGGCTCGCTTTGGACAGCTCTTTGAATCCCTTCTTATGTAACTGTTCTTACGAAAACTGAATTTCTCTACGGTGAAAAGGCATAATTTCTCATATTCTATGATGAAAATTGGCCCGTAATAGTAAATTGACAATGAAATCAGCCTTACCGAATTTGGATCGTGTACGTCCATTTTTTTGGATACAACAGCATATAAGAAATTTTAGGAAAGGAAGACTTTTATATTTAAAAAAGGCCTAATTGTTAATGTTTTGCGATGAAAATTTGTTTGTACATTTCTTGGATTCGACTTCATTTAAGGTTTCGCAGGAACAGTAGGCCCTTCAGGAAAATTTTTATTTTTTATATTTTATAACAGAAATTGATCCATAGTCGATCGGTTTCTTGGTCATTACTCATAAACTATACCACGTAAATTAGAAAGTATAACCTATGGGCGATGCTGTAGTACAGGTACAAAAATGGAATATTTGACCACACCTACCCAATTATTATGGTGTATCAAAGTTGAATTTTTTTTTCGATAACTTTACAACGCGCAAAAAGTCCATCAAGGATATAAATTCTTGGCCAGTTTCAAATTTGGAATGCACGGAGAGACGTCCGTCTGTCCGTCTGGCTAACTGTGCAGTATCTGTGATAAACATTCTCGCGTTAGCGAAAATGAAGATGCCGCCTAAAAATTTGCAAAAGCATTTAAAAGTGACATGCCTAATACTCCTAACACTCCTTTCCACACTCCTAAGCGGCAAAAACTTTTATTTCCAGTAGAGAAATAGTAGCGTCCACTCCGTATTAATTATCAAAATTGACTTGTATTTTATACAAGTACAGTAATACAGTACACCATGGAATAAATGAGATATCAATAAGTTCAAAAATGTGAAAGGTATGCAGAATGCACGGTATGGCACGACAGGCTGGTATCTCTACTTTTCTTTCGTAGCATTTATGCAAGCATGAATTTCTTGGGTTTTGGTTCGAAATTCTTTCTAGGTTTTGTTGATTGCATTCGCCACTTATGCATTAAGTAGTCGATGAGAGAACTGAACTTTCCAATCATTATCATTATTCAATATATTTTATGCCCTCCATTGATCATGTTGCCCATGCTATTATTCCATTTGGTTCGAGTAAGTTTTCTTTTAAAAGAAAATTCATATTTTCCGTAGCTATTTGCTTGCTTTTTAATCTGCTAAAAACATTTTGCTTACCATTCGTTTTTCCAACCTCTAACCTATACAATTTAACGGTATGTTGCAAGGGACATTTTAAAGTGTAATCTGACTACTTGAACTGACAACGTGTTCAGTAAAAATAGAAGATATCCACGCTATGATAGAAGAATATTCTCGCCAAGTCGTGAGATGGCGCTTCTTCTAAGTATTACGATAAACAAAGTCATCCAGTTTATTCAGTTTATTATTATCAAAGGCAAAATTCTAATTTCACCTTGAATTTCTCTTTCCAGAACTAAGATATGATAACGATACTTTTTTAGAAGAATTTGCCGAGAAATGCTTTTAAAAGTCATTGGAGGCGATAAGTCTTTGAATGGGTGATAGAGAAGAGCGATAACATGTATGCGAAAAGATCGCTGCGTTAATTTATATTTTCTTATATCTGGGTTATAAGGATTTTCATATTAATATCAAGTCATCAACACCTCGTAAAGATGACGAAAGATTATGATTGCCGAATGGATTTTTATAGATTTCTCTTCATCCCAGATCTGGAGTTATATCCGTAATATTGCAAAAAAAACAAGGGCAACGCATGTGCTTGTTAATCTTAACAATTTTTTATATTTACCGAATTACTGGTTCCATCATGTACGGCGGCAAAGCCACAAACGCATTGCAAGGAGTTTTTTATTATGATATCGAGCACGATAACCGCCTTTATTGCTATTTTCGCGTATGCTAAAGGAATTGACTTTACATTCGTAATAAGATATTATACACAGGCTAATTAATTAAACGTATATATATATATATATATATATATATATGTGTATGTATTTATTGCTTTAAAATACACAACAGAAACTATAACAAAATACAATGCAGAGGTGTTGCAATATCGTTAGCCCAGGGCGTAGGGAATGCCTCGCGAAATGCACGTTCAATTAATATTAAAGCCAATACAAAAATACATTCATAGTTGTTAATATACGTAATAAATATTAAGAGGTTACAAACCTTATTACAGACGAGGGGTGTCTTATTAAGAGTGAAATGTTAGAGAAAGGGTATAAATAACTTGATTTGTACCTTTTTATTCCGATTGTTCCGATAATTTTATATTTAAATCTTCTTGTCCACGCTCGTTGGACTTTTCAGTTTTAAAATCTTTGTCCATTTCCTCTGACTTTGAGAGACTTGGGGAAATCAAAGCACAGGCTCCTTCTATATTATCGTGATTCTCAGCATCAGGATTTTCTTTATTTTCAAATTCGATAGATTCATGTTTAGACGCGTTGTTGTTATCAACATTTTCGTGAACCGGCCCAATCAAGGCAATGTTTGAATAATTATTACTATTACTTGCCGATGAGCAATTTTGATCGGCTTCGGCCAAATCCCCATCGTCCGCTGTCATGATTTGCGTTTGATTATTACTCTTGTTCTGGGCTTTTTGTGAATTACATTTATTCTTACTAGTGTTGTTGTTGTTATTATTATTATTATTATTATTATTGTTGTTGTTATGGTTCTCGTTACTATTACTGAATACATTATTTTCCAAATACTGTTGATACCAATCCAGAAATTCATCTCTCTCACGCGGCAAAGACAACTTTTTTATTTTGGCGTAAATTTTTTTTGGCGATATACTGGTAACGCCGCCATTGGTAGCGATCGCATTATTGCTTGCCGACGGCACTGTCTGAGCATTCTGAACTACTGTAGCTGTCAATTTGGCTATTTCTGCTAATAAAGCGTCATTTATATGGGTATTGGGATGGGTTTGATTGCGTATGCGTGTTATAATATAAGCAATAAGATCATAATTATTGGGATTAGTATTAGTACAGGTTGAATTGGCAGTCGAAGTAGTGCTAGAGCTGGAGCTAAGTAAATTGTTTGCACCACCGTTCTCATCACCCTATAGAAAAGAATCATTAAAAGAGAATTGTGAATCATATGTAAAATATAATTAATTGTCGAAAACAGTGATGAGAACTTTTTCGCCAGAGCTTCATTAGCTTCATTAGTGACACGTCAAAAACGGCAAACGAAATTTGGCATGAAAACATTCACCCTTACTAAGTCGTGCGTAATCAGCGAATGTATATATATAGAACATGGAACAGCTTAGCATTTATCCTAAGCTGTAAAACTCTTCTACAACTACAAAGGGAAAATTTTATAAAAAAAAGTCAAGCTTTGTTAAGAATTTTCTTGTAGACGTTAAATGATAATCAATATCGATGAAAGTCTTGCTATAAGATAGCCTGGAGAAATATATAGATTACGTAAATTAAGCCATCAATATTTTTGTTTCCGAGTTTTTCTGCGGACGGACGGACGGACGAACGAACGAACGAACGAACGAACGAACGATTTTGCTATGCGTTTCGGCTTGTCACATATAAAGAAGCAAAATTGTCGAAATTATATGATTTTTCCGGGCGGAATAGACTCGATTTCGATTGGAAAACACAATAAAAGGCTTGAGAGAAAGCCTTAAGAATTCGATTCATGCAAATAACTTACTGGGTATTATTGATATGTATTGGCGGACTTGCGATATATTTTCAGATCGTTCAAGAAGATATCTACAAACATTATTCTTAAAGAAATAACGTAAGGAAACTAGTCAGTCCTTCTTATAGGCATAATTTCGTTTTATTGGTTATTATGGCGTCTTGTTAAACTTGAGTTTTTAGTAATCGGCCTTTATGATTGAATTTGTGCTTAAGGAACACTACGTACAGCATTTTTTCCTCAAGTTTTCTACAGTTTTTTTTATCTGCCTTTCTATAGTTAAATTTTAATTAACGCCTACAACTGTAACTGTATGCGCTGGGGACTGAAAAAATCTTTATATTCTTTAGGCTTTTAACTTGCTTACTTTTTTCTCTTTGGGTGGTTGACGATTTTGTTGTTGGGCGGCTAAACTGCAAGCTCCCTTTAGATTTTCATCTTCTTCTTCCAAAAAGTTCGAACTGTTATTGTTGTTGCTGCTGCTAACGTTGCTATTATTACTGACAATTTGTTTGCGTTGATTTTTACGTTTTTTCGTAACATTTTTCGTGAGGCCCGTAACTAATGGACGCAAGTTTGTGTTTGCATGATGAGCATTAGCACCATTAGCACTAATGGCCGCGACGCTGTTGTTCATTACACTGTGACGCCAATTGCAATCCTCTTCTGGTTTCTCGTTATCAATATTTAGCAACAACAATGGCGAGTTTTCTGTCGAAGTTATTAGTAAGTCAGTTTCGGTATTCATTTTGGCGGCATTTAATTCACGATCATTGACCGCAGTTGTATTTAAAGCTAACGGCTGCTGTTGCTGGAGTTGGCCTCTTTGTTCATTCAGATACATTTTACGCATAGAAATATTCGATGATATATTGTTAATAACTTGCCGGCTGCTACCAGGCGTGTTATCCTTGTCAAGTAACATACTTTCTAAACGCCTAAAAACATCTTCCTTTATTGATTCATAAAATTTTGTAGTGAACTTGTCATTTTTCAAAGCATTTACGAGAAGATTACGTTTAATTTCCTCAGAAGTGGTGTCCTCTTCTTCCTCTACGTTATTGGACGAGATATTGTGAAGATGATTGCCATGATTAACCTCAGTAGCGTTGGAAGAATTTGAGAAATCTAAAGCCAATTGTAAAGGATTACAATTGTTGAAATCGTAATTGTTGTCTTCTATATCTAGGATGGGTCTTAAAAGAAAGTCATCGTGATTTCTAAGCCTTCGATTTTCCGGTAAATTCATATACGATTGCGTCCGATAACCAGCGAGTGTGTTCGGGTATCGATGCTGCTGCTGCTGCTGTTGTTGTTGTTGTTGTTGTTGTTGAACTGGTGTGGGTGGTTGTGGATTTTGCGTTTGTCGATTCAGTTCCTCAGTGCGATTGCGAAAATGGCAAATTTGCTTCGGCGTGACCTTGTTACCTTGGCTAATATTATAGTTGTGATACATTAAGTCTGTGGTGTTAGCAGCGACCTCTGTGCTGGCATTATCTCCGCCGGCCAAGGCGTTATTATGATCTTGATGTTCCAACCAATTCAAATGCTGTAAGAATTCGCGTTGCTGTTGCTGCTGATAGATATTCTGTTGATATTGTTGTTGTTGCTGCTGTTGATGATGATTAATGCGTGATCTTTGTATAATACGTAAGTATTTATTGAAATTGCTGCCAACATTGTTATCAAAATTTAAATTGTTGCTAATCTCGTCCAAGTGCGACTGACTTTGCTGATGCTGTTGTTGATACATTTGCGGCGGCTGCTGCAAGGCTGGCGACCTCTGCGTTTGAAACTGATTTTCCGGCTGTTGTTGCTGATCTTCGTTGCTTTTGTTCGTCGTAGTCGACAATAAGTTTTGTCGAGAATAACTTTCGTATGTAATTCGGATGATACAACAATAAAAGCATAACACAGAACATACAAATAAAGAAAAAGAGAAAAACAACAAATGTTAGTTTAAAGAAAACGCCATGCACTGCCTCAGCTCCATAAAAACTTTAGTATAATTGTTAAAGAAAGCATATCAAGCTTTATTTACTTAATAAACGGAAGTTGGATTAATTTTGTCTTAAATACATTCTGTTATCTGGGCTTGTGTGAGCTCGATTTATATTTCAATATTCATGACAGAGTGTAGATATGTACGTATACAATCAAGACAATAGATTGGGTCGAGAGAGAGGAAGAGGAACGCGAAGATGTAAACATTAGTTGAGATGTAACATTTCATACGAGAAGGAAGTCACGACAAGTGGAGGCAATTTTAAAACGTATTGTAGATGAAACAGAGAAGCTAGCGGTCCATCTATTTTGCGCTGCAAGAAAAGCTTCGTCGTTCGTTCCCATCGATGTATCAAAAAATATCGATTAGCTCCGTTATCGTTAGAGTAAACAAATTTTTACCGCTGTGCATTGCCAAGCGATACGAATACTTTTGCGCTGTTCCTACTTATTAGCGCGTTCCAAAAAAAAAAAAAAAAAAAAAAATCGAACAATAGAAACAAGTAAAAACTCTATAGTCGGGCAAAGACGATACGATACCTTGCGCGACCTTGCATCACATCGCCTAATACGTTTCTCTGCTTATTTTCAAGAAAGAACTCTAAAAATGATATCTTTTGTCGTGCATAGTTTCCATGGGGGACCTTACACGAGCAGAAGCTTAAAACATGAGCTGACGTGGCTCACATTCAGCAAAGCTTATTTTCTTATTAAATTCTTATATGTGACTTGTTGCAGGGACCTCGTAAATAAGGATAAACTCGGTGACAATCAGAAAGAAGTGAGAAGATGCGAATGGGATGTGGCCGTTAGCCAAGCACGTGTGTGTCCGTTTGGGAAATGTTATGCCCTTCAGTCGTATTTACAAGTACGCTTTATTTCATTGAAAATTCTTACGTGCTAGACTATGCCGTAGTCCGAAAAGTTCAACGTTCTCACTATTTATGCTGCACACTACTAGCACTGCAAGGCATGTTAAATGTGTTCGGACGTATGTAACAAGCGAAAGCGCTTAATGAAAAACACCTACCAAACGATTTAGAATCATTTTCGGAATCGAATTAAGTATGTCCTCCTTCCCTCTGCTATCTATCTATGTATATTTTTCTGAAATCGGAGGGTCGCAATGTTTTGGAATATTTTGAACAAATTTAGTAGGCTTAGGTGTATCGGCTCAAGAACAAGCCTTACTGAAAACTGATTGCATCTCAATCCTCAATAAAAGACTTTTTTTTTTGTTTTTTAATTCGTTATTTGAAAGAAGTTATAATTTTCAAAATTTCTTGAAAAAAATCGCTAAGTAATAGTATGTTGGATTACGCAATAGATGTGAAAAATTTGGATCGGATTGCCTGATATTTTGAACCCATTCTTGTGTTGAGCCTACGGGTTGCACTTTTTGAGATATTTGGATGAAATTTGATAAACCGACATGTTTTGCCCTAAGGGCAATTGTAAATGAAAATGCTTCGGATCGCACTGCTTTTTTGGTCATCTCCCATATAATACCTTGCTTTAAAAACTTATTATATGGATATTTGCATTGCATGGCCAATCACAGTGTTTTTAGTTCCTACACTTTATTTGACAATACTCAAGAAATTCCCCTCCCTTTATTATTTTCTAATATTTTTTTGTTTTTGTGGAAACTGTGTAATCCTACGAATTCATCTTCATTGCATCAAAAGGAAAGTTCATCATATTATCTTTTTAGTTTTAAATGTATTACGTCACATGGAATATTATTTTGTTTATATTTAATAGTACGCTCAAAGGACATCCAGCTGGTGGTTGGAAAGGACTATAGATTGAGGAGGGAGGAAGAGAGAGGACAATAGTGATTAATCTAAACAAGAAACAGATTTTTTTTTTTTTAGGAGGAAAAACCTACATTTGGCGACGACTTTTTTTTTTTTTTTTTGATATATAACTAGAAATTTATCTAACGAGAAATGTATATAAATTTGATCACGACCCCTAAAAATGCCGAAAAGTAGGATTAAATAAGATTAAAAGATTATATGTATCCTAATAATATAAAAATTTTAGTTTTAATTAACAAAATTTATTTTTCCTGAACTGAAGACGTTCACACGCACGCTATTAGCTTAATAATGATCTGAAACGGACAGTAGTAGTAGTAGTAGCAGTAGTAAATGAAAGATTTAAGGAATCATATATCATCTTTACGAGGTTATATTACAAGAGCTGTCTGGAAAAAAGAGTTGGATGTTTACCTTCTAAAATTATCCCAATAGTTATTAGCACGATTACCAGGCGGTACTTGGTTGTTCAATGTGTTACGTGCTGCTACGGTGGTGTTAGCAATATTGCTGCTATTATTACTATGATGATGTGTTTGTTGTTGTTGTTGTTGTTGCTGGTTCTGCGTGCGTAGGTTAGCATTATTTTGGTGTATTGCATTATTATGATGATGCATAAATATCGGAGCTGGTCCACTGGTCACTAAAGGCGATTGTGGGGTCGTTATTTCATTGTTATAAAGAGTTGCTGGCGGTTGTGCTACCGTATTTTCTGGTATAGCATTGTTTAATGTTGAGTATATGCCCACAGTAGCTGTCGAGGCAGCATTATGCTGTTGTGTTTCTGTACTAAAATTAAAATTTCCAGCCGACATGCGTTGTTGATGGCATTGTTGATATATATGATGTTGCTGTTGATGTTGGTAATTGCTGAACGCATTATCCCTTGCTGCTGATGTCATATACTGGGGTGGAGGTTGTTCTGATTGGGCGCGAGGATTTAAGCCAACATAAAGATTATTGGGAGTGCGGTGACCCGCTGCCACACCATTTAAATTAGGTGGTGGTACTGATTCCGAACGCATGTTATAGCTAATGTTAGCATTGACAGCAGCTCCAGTAGTCAAGGTCAGTATACGATCCTGTAATAAGTGTATAGTTTGATTGAGTTTTTCAATTTCTCTTTGCTGATGCCATAACATTTGATTGCAATGGCAAACCGAGTTAATCAACATTTGTTGAGTATGCACGAATTGTTGAAGCATGTTTAGTTGTATGTTAGTAGTCGCGGTGGTAGTCGACGAGGAGGTGGCAGCTCCTAAGTTGTTGGCATTGCATATACAATCGCCGCCACTGGGAGGATTGTTAAGCGTTGCGGTTTGTCCCGAAGCAAACGCCGCCGGAGGAGGAGGTGGTGGGGGCGGTATACCTGCTCCGTAATAATATTGATGAGGATTCCAGGCAGAGGGTAGAGGTGGTGGTATAGGGCCAGCTAAGAAAGTGTATTTAATTTATTTTATTTATTTATAATCTGTGATTTAAGTTTGAACTTACGAAAATTTAAGCCCATTGCCGACATTGGTGGCGGTATAGAATACGACCTCGAGCTGCCTGATTGGATACTAGCTCCTTCAAAAGATGCGCCATCGTGCGTGCTACTATCAGCCTGGGCAATGTGAGCAGCTGTTTTTGATGAAACAACAGTAGGATCCATCGAGTCTTTAGCATTTCGCTGACGTGAAGATGTATCTACGGAAGGGGCATTGCGGCTAGCAGCCGGGGTCGAGGGATTCGGCTGGAATTTTGCGCTAGCAGCATAATCTGAGTCGTTGACATCCTCTTCTGCTTCATCATCGGCTTCTGAGACAATGTCTGGCCGCATGCTTGGTGTCTCATTTACGGGCTGCTCGTCTTGCAACCGTTGGCACAACATCTCGAATTCCTTTTTCTTTAATTCATACTCGGTTTTCAGATGATCACGTTCTTCTTGATTTTGCTCATGCTCCTGCAAACGCCTTTCAAGAGATTTCGGTGTTGGCGTAGGCGTTAGACTGCTTCTTTTCAAAGCTTCCTCCCCTATTTGGGCAGCTGCTGCCGCTTGATTTTTACGTCTTTCAATTTCCGCTTTTAGAGCATATATACGATTACGTTCCGCCTGCAAGCTTTCGGCTTGTGCTCGTAAATCTGTCGTGACTTCATTTAGCATACGAACTTTACGCGATATGTACTCTTCGTTGCCACTGTCATTGTTGGAGAGACTGCTTGTTGTAACTAAGAGAGAACGATCACGGTCAAATTCATTGCAACTTTCTCGAGGAGGTGTGCGTCCTAACGTTTTGGGATCGTTGATGGTATGAGTCTCAATCATATTGACAGTTTCCATCATTTCTTTAAGACGTTTTAGTTGAGATTTCATTGCATCTATGTCTGCTTCCCTTTGTTGTATTAGTACGGCTGTCGCTGGTACCTCGTCTTCCTCCGGATCTAGTTCCGACTCTGATTGTATAACATTATTAGAATGACGATTAGTTGAATGCAAAAGCTCTATTGGGACTACGCGTGTGTACTCTACCGGAACTACACGCTCCATTGTATTAGATTTGACGCTTTTAGTTGTTTGCTGCGATTTCGGAGATTCGGGCTCTTGTTCAACCACGTCCTTTTCTTGCTCAAATTGTCGTTGACGTGCTTCCTTGGCTGTCTCCTCAGCCGAACGATTTATATCCTGCAATTCCGTTACCAAGTTTCGCATTTCATCCCTTTGATTACGTAAATCCTCCAATTTTCGCTGCAAGGCTTCCTGTTCGGCTAATATTTCAGGACCATCATCGCCCAACAAAGAAGACAATTCATTTTGATTCTGTATGAATGCGGTAAGATTTTTCATACGACCAACTAATGACGACATATCGGTATGGATTTGTTCTACGCTCTGATATTCAGGAGCGCCATCGGTATCGTTAGTTAAACGTTGCGAACTAGATGGAAAACTTAAGGTGTTTGCTTGTTGACGTAATTTTTCCATCTCATTCAAATGTTGTTTGGCGGCAGTTTGTAAACGCAAGAGTTGTTGTTGTTGTTCCTTCATGTTTTCTATGTTGCGATTGGACGCTTCCAGACGTTGTTGTAGCTCTTCAAAAGATGGAGTATTGTCGGGAGTAGGCGTCTCCACAGCGCTATGCAAGGACTGTATGGATTGGGCGCGATCGCTTGACTAACAAATACGAGAGATAAGCGACTAAAAGCGTAGAACGCTTATGATTTTTAAGTAAATAGATACCTCACTTAGAGCTACGTCCTCTAAACTGGCAGAATTGACAACCATTTCACGTTGTGACGAAGGCGCCGAATTAGGATTTATTTCGTGTACCATGCTGGGAGATCTCAGCGACTAAAAAGGAAATAAGAAAATGAGAATTTTGTAGAAATCAAATTTAAACGTATTCAGAATTAAGCGGCTTCAGACTTTTTGCAAACTCCTGGTACAAATTTCCAAATTGCCTGTTAAACAATCTCCTCGACTATTGTTGTTACTAGTGTTACTTGTATTAAGACTTTGCAATTGCTGCAAACGTTGCAATAAATGAACAACCTCGTTAGAGTTTTGATTCGCAATCGTATTTTCTTGGACTGCCGATGTAGAAGTCCGCAAAGTGGGTATCAATTGCGTGGCAAGATTGAGTAAAGGCCGTGCTTGAGGTTCTTCGAAAAGCTGTTGTAAATGCTGTAATTGTAATAATAACAATTGTTGTTGTAATTGCTGATTTAGATTTACGTTTCTTGGAGAATTGTTCGCGCTACGATTAGAAGACGAAACTGGCGGTATTATTGCGGCCGTTGTGCTATTAGGTAATCCGGGAGTAGTAGGTATAACCACGCCAATGGCTGTATTTAAATTTGAATTAATATTTGCGGAATTTAGGTAATCGTTTTGCAGTTGCGCCGAGTTATGCGACGTTTGCTGGCTACGACGCGGTATAGGCCGTACCGGATAGCAAAAGCGTTGCTGATTTTCCTGAGAATTTTCTATCAATCAAAGAAAATCACAAATAAAATTTGCGTTTATTTTTATTTATTTTATATATTTATCAAGAATAAAAAAAGGAAAAAAAAAACATATGCAAGCAAATTGAAAAAGAATTTATGATTGAGTCTAAAGTGAAGCGGAATAAAAAAAAAAAATTACAAAAAATTTTGTATTCCGCTTCGTTCGATACTTCTAATTCTCACAATTTATTTGATTTCTCTATTAGGTGAATTTCGCAATTTCAGGTAAATACGATGCTTACGCATAAAAAAATACCCATCAAAGTTCCAACAAATTACATATATTCATTTTGCCTTACAATGCAAATGCTGCGAATGCAGTAAACTTTCATAAGGGTACTAAGTCTGTGCATAAGTTCGTAGCGAATAACTCGATATAAAGAGAAAATATTTAGAAAGGCTTCGGAATTATTTGTGCGTCAATAATGTGAAGAATTTGATAGTTTTGTTGTTGTTGTTGTCGTCGCCAAATGTCAATAGCAGTCAATTACACCCGGCATATATACTTGCGTGTTTTCTTCAGTTAGGGCTCGCATCCCTTTCCGAGTCGCAAATGAAATCGAAATGGATTGAAAATTCATACACTTCTTTCCTCCCCTTCTTGAAGCGTTGGCACACATTTTCGCATTTCATTGCTCAATTTTGCATCGACTTAACAGTTTATGGATAAATAATTTAAATTATTTAGGAAATAATTTTCAGTCATGAAACATTCTCATTGCGCCCACGCATTTTGGTTAGGATTATGAATCAATTATTTAAAATTAAAATAAAGAAATGAAAGAAGGAAATAAAAGTGCTTTTACTTTTAAGAACTATTGACAACATGGTACAGTGCACCGATCTTCTAAATAAAATCTAAATTTAGATCTACATTTAAAATAAATAAATATGAAAAGATCGTTCATTCGGTTTAGCCGAATTTTCAGCACCCTCCATTGCTCAAGCAAGAGCATACCAAAAATTGAATTTTTTACGCATATCTCGAGAGCAAATAGTTACTTTATGCTAAATAACAATTGCTTGTGTGATTACATATTTTCTAAAAATCATGCGTTCAGATTATTATTACATGAAAGGTTGATATTATTTACAAACTCCGAATGGTTTAAACTCCGATGGTCTATCTATCTATAAGAAGACGCAAAACATG